TTTATTTATTTGCATACGTGAATGCATACATGTATATATAGAAAGATATCAAGATGGCGCCAACACAATATGAAATGGCGCCACTCAAGACAGCCCTTGAAAAAGTCACTAGGAAGACATCGGCCAGGTGAAACTACGGCGCCACTTGGGTCTTACATTCCCAGATCTTGCCAGCTCACGTTTTGCCTGAGGCTGCAGAGCTAGTGCAATGCTATCTTGGAGTAGACCTGGAGGATGAGCTTCGGACGGTGGCTTTCCAAGCTTCTTCGCGGCTTCCTTAATTTCCCTGTCAATGCAGACAGGATTGACTGGAAGTGGAGTCTGGCATGCACGGGAACGCGCCTCTCGTTCTCCCGCAGGAGTTCTTTGTATGCCGTCTCTGATGATTGGGCTGTCTTCAATGCCTGATGCTTAGGTCATACTCTCTTTTAAGTTTCTTTTGTGGTAAAGGGCAGCGCTGAAGCGGCGTCTGAGGATGTGGCAAGCTGGATGAGTCGCCAAGGTTCCGTGCCACTGAACTCGGCGTGCAGCAAATGCAGCTTTCTTGTGGCCTGACCAGCAGGAACGCGTTGCATCCTGCATGCTGTGAGTGATGTTCTGCGCCTGCTTTTTGGAACTTGTCTTGATCGTTTCTTTCCTGCGCAGAAGCAAGTTGTGAAGTGCTCCAACAATTGAGGAATTGTTCTTGACTTGCCTTGGGACGAAGACCATGATCCAGTATCTCTGAGCAAATTGAAATCTAGCTGATAAAGCTGTGAGCGAAAGGGCTGACGGAACACGTTTGCTTCGACGCTCATGCTTTCAGCCGAGGATGTGATCGATTACCAATTTGAGGGCCTGGAGGAGGTTAGTAGGTCCAGGGGAGGCTTAAACGAAGCTAAGCATGGGGCCCAAAAGCTAAAGGAGATGAAGCCTGGGTTCTCAAGGCTCTAAAGGAGGTGAAACCTGAAGCTCTCGGGGGCTCTAAGGGAGGTGAAGGCTGGAGCTCTCAAGATAAACATCTTCGAAACGTGCCGATGTAAGTGAAACCTGGTCTCTCGCATGGAAGCCAAGCAGGTGAAACTTCCAACTGTTGAAGCATATCAAAAAAGGTACAACGGGGAACTATCAGATGGCACCAAAGTACTTGCAACCTGAAACTCACGGGAGCTACCGGTGTCCCTAGAGAAGGTGGAACCTGGAGCTCTCGGGGTGCTTAGAGGAGGTGAAACCTGAAACTTTTCAAGGAATATTTTTCGGAGAAGCCTTGAGCTCTCGGGGGCCCTAAAGGAGGTGAAGCCTGGAGCTCTCGGGGGCCCGAAAGAGGCCTAAAGGAGGTGAAGCCTGCAGCTCTCGGGGCTCTAAAGGAGGTGAAGCCTGGAGGTCTCGGGGGGCCAGAGGTGAAGAAAGCAGGCCTTGGAGGCTAAAAGGAGGTGAAGTCTGGAGTCCCGCATCTCGCTGGGCCTAAAGGAGGGAAGCCTGGACCTCTCGGGAGGCCTAAGAAGCCTGGAGCTCGTGGGGCGCCTAAAGGAGGTGAATGCAAAGTGAAGTCTGGAGCTTTCGGGCGGGCTTCTTACAGGGGGGCCTGAAAGAAGCTTTAAAGGAGCTTAAGCCTGGAGGCCCTATAGGAGGTTAAGCCTGGAGGCTGAGAGGGTAGAAGAGGCGAAGGCTGGATGGGTGCAGCTGTTTGGGGGTCTGGACTTGAGGGTGCTGGGTTTGGGGTGATCCATGCAAGGGGCTCTTCCCATTTTTTCCACTGCGTCGCGCTTTCTCGCCCGTGCAGGAGATCGTTTCATTATCGCGGCTTCCTCAGGATGTCAGGCATCATGGTTTGCTGTAATGTTTCACTGGCAGTCGCGATGACAATTGGATGAACTATGACTGCAACTTGTTCCGCTGACCAAAATGCTTTAACTCCTCGTCCATCCAGGGCCTAGACAAGCAAGCGTGATGCAACTGCAGAAATCGGTCGCATTGATTTGAGACTTTGGGACGGGGGCGCCTCAGCCTTTTGCGAATGAGCGCACGGAGTTCCTCGGTAGCCGCTTCCATTAATGCCTGCAGCGACGCTGCCGTCAAGGTTGCAAGCTTTGGGGTGAAGCAGTATACTTTGTCGGCCTTTTGGTTGAGCGAGACCATATACGGTCCGAGGTGTAGGTGGGCATGTATCCATCTCGCATATAGTTGCCGCACCTGGCAGAAGAGTGCTTCGTGCCAGCATCTTCATGTGCTCAATCTTCAGCCTCTTTGGGACTCAGGGATCGGCGGTTCAGCGCCATGCTTGCCTGCGGTTGCACAGGGCTACACTGACAGGTTGAAGCGTGCCAATCACAGCCGAGCGCGGTACTCTTGAGCCACGATGGGGCATTGACCTTAGACAGACGCATCCATGCACCATGTAGAGTATCGCTAGAATTTCAGTCAGCGGCCATGAGGTGCTACCAAAGACCACCTGCCATGACCATGCTAAACAACAGAAAGACGTGTCCTCGCACATCAAAACATCAAAATCCTCAGGCAGCCAACCAGACCATCTTGGCGATTAACCTGCCAATTATAGAGAACCGATTCCTAATGCACTTGTTTGTTGGGACGCCACGCCTCCCCATACAAACATTTTGGGAATAAAGTGAAAATCGCTCCGATAAAATCACAAAAAGAGGAACCAATGAGAGAGCGAGAAACTCTCTCTCGCTCTTTCTCTATCTCTCTCTCTCTCTCTCTCTCTCTCTCTCTCTCTCTCTCTCCCTCTCCTTCTTTCTCTCTCTCTCACACACACAACAGAAACCAATCACGCTCGCACGACGCACCGCTCCCTTTTTTTTGACATGCGCGCGGCTGCGTGCGGAGAAAAGGCGCTACTGAAAGCAGCCTTCTAAAATTGCAAAAGAAAAGTTGAATTCAGCAAAAGATAATTAGGGTGGGCGGTTATGTGGTACCACCACCCGCAAACCCAGGAGTTTGCCTCTACAAAACCAAAAGCTCACCTAAACGATTGCAACAGAAAGCTAGAACCAACTCTGTTTGCAGCTACCAGAACCCAACAGCAAGAAAGACCTAGGCAAACTCCCGGGGGCGGGTCACCCGTGACACGTTATGGCTATGCAAAACTAGTGCCCAAAAGAGTAGATACAGTATAGTCTAAGATCTCTACACTATAAGCAAGCCCTCTTTGGGACTCAGGGATCGGCGGTTCAGCGCCATGCTTGCCTGCGGTTGCACAGGGCTACAATGACAGGTTGAAGCGTGCCAATCACAGCCGAGGGCGGTACTCTTGAGCCACGATGGGGCATTGACCTTAGACAGACGCATCCATGCACCATGCAGAGTATCGCTAGAATTTCAGGCAACGGCCATGAGGTGCTACCAAAGACCACCTGTCATGACCACGCTAAACAACAGAAAGACGTGTCCTCGCACATCAAAACATCAAAATCCTCAGGCAGCCAACCAGACCATCTTGGCGATTAACCTGCCAATTATAGAGAACCGAACTTTTGCTCACGACATGCTCACGACAGATGCTCAACAAAATGATCACACCTTCTCCGACATAAAGCCTGATCCTCAAAAGGCAACAAAGCCTAAACTCCCCAACTGCCCCGACATCGCTCAGAGCAGCTGTGCCTTCCAGCTGGGATGAGTTGCCACCATCCCGCGCGTTGTCTGCCTTGATAAAGAAATAGCTATAGACCTCCGAGGCAATTTACCGGAGTCCGAAGTGCCAAAGAACATCTGAAGACCTGGAGACAGTTTTCGTGGCGTTCCGCGTTCGGCTTTACATTGGGATCTAGGCTTCCGGACGGTTCGGACGCAAGCCTCGAGTAATATCCATGCCATCTCAGGTTAAGGCCTGATCGAGGGCGATTCTTATTACCTTCTGCGGCCAAGTGCGCTTTCAATTCAATCACGTTTGGGCTACTGAAGTCCCCAACCGTTCGGCTGCATGTTTCAATTGTAAAGGATTTACGACCGGGATTTTGGCAAGGACGAGATAGTGAATCAAAATCTCTAGAGTTCAAATTTTGAAGATCTGGGAATCTCTGGATATCTGATCAAATTCTCCAAAATTGAAATATTGAAGATCTGGGGATCTTTGGATATCGAATCAAAATCTCTAGAATTCCATTTTTGAAGGTCTGATGATCTTTGGATCTCGATAAAAATCTCAGATTTGAAATATTGAAGGTCTGGGAATCTCTGAATATTGAATCAAAACCTCTAGAATTCAATTTTTGAAGGTCTGGGATCTGGATATTTAATCAAAACCTCTAAAATTCAATTTTGAAGGTTTGGGAATTTCTTGATATCTGACCAAAAAGTTCAGATTTCAAAGTTTGAAGATTTGATGACTTCTTCATATCTGATTAGGAATTGGAGTATTGAAGGTCTAGGAATCTCTGAATATTTGATTAAATATCGCCAGAATTCAAATTTTGAAGGATTTGGATTTGGAGTCTCTGGATATCTGATCAAAACCTCCAAAATGGAAATTTTGAAGGTCTGGGGATCTTTGGATATATAATTTCGTATTTGAAGACCTGATGATCTTTAGATATCGATAATAATCTCCAGGATTGAAATATTGAAGTTCTAAAAATCCCTGAACAATGAATCAAAATCTCTAGAATTCAATTTTTGAAGGTCTGGGATCTGGATATTTAATCAAAACCTCTAAAATTCAATTTTTGAAGGTTTGGGAATTTCTTGATATCTGACCAAAATCTTCAGATTTCAAAGTTTGAAGATTTGATGACTTCTTCATATCTGATTAGGAATTGGAGTATTGAAGGTCTAGGAATCTCTGAATATTTGATTAAATATAAAATCCAAACTACGAGTCAGATTCTCAGAACGGGGGGAAGTCTAGGTTCATGAATATCCCCAGGGCCTACCTAGGGGTTCCCCTAAACCCTAAACCTAAACCCTAAACCCTAAACCCTAAACCCTAACCCTAAACCCTAAACCCTAAACCCTATACCCTAAACCCTAAACCCTAAACCCTCCGTAGGTTGCCAGTCCTGTGCGGCTGGGTAAGGCCCTTCCGGCCATAGACGCGCTCAATCTCGGCCGCGAAGGCTCGCACCTTCCACTCCAGTGGCGACCTCCGTTTTTGGGTCGCTCTTGGGGGGTGGGGGGGGTTAGGGTTTAGGGTTTAGGGTTTGGGGTTTAGGGTTTGGGGTTTAGGGGGGCGGGTGAGTTTAGGGTCTATTGAAATTGTTCAGGGTTCAGGTCCGGGGAAAGTTTCGAGGAAAGTTTCGAGGAGTTTCGATTTCACGTGCTTGGACTTTCGAATAATTTCAAGTTGCAGGGGCTTGAGGGTTTATGGTTTAGGGTTTAGAGTGTAGGGTTCAGGGTTCAGGGAGGATTGCACGGTTTCGGGGTATCGGGTGAACTCTGATCCCTAAGCCCTGGACGCTTTTCAGGGTTTCCTGGCTTTCTTGAGACATTGGGGGGGGGGGTCTTTTGGCTTTGAGGCTTCTAGGGGTTGTTTGAGGTTTCTTAGGCCAGGAGTGCTGCCTTTAAAAGGGAAGGTCGACCGCGGAAGGGGCAGGCAATGCTGCTTGATGGTTCGTGGGTCGTCATTGGTACAGGGTGGGGCCCCCTAGTTATAAGTAGAGTTTTAAGGGCCCTAAATTGGGTTATAAGGACCCTAAGTTAGGTTGTAAGTCCCTTAACTACAGTTAGTATAGTAAGGGGGCCCCACCCTGTAGGGGTCAAGGTTTAGGCTTTGGGGCGTTAGGCTTGAGGGTTTGTTCAGGTCTACTTGAAAGGTTCCATGGGTAGTTCTAGGGAGGGTTGATGGCACATGAGCTAGGCTTGTAGGCACAAAAAATCCTACCAGGACCCTAATGCCAAATCCCTACACCCTACACCTAAACCCCAAACCCTAAACCCAGCAAGTGCAAGCAGCGCATCAAAAAAAAGCTCCACTGAAAATCACGTAAGCCGCGGGCGCCAAAGTGCTGCTCTCGTAGGTGGTTCTCGCAGAGAGCACCTCTTCTGGCCACCCTTACAACGAGGATCCAGGAAGGGACACTAATTTAGAGAACTACCCATACGGGGTTTGGGGTTTATGGTGTGGGCTTTTCGGGGGCTTGCGGGCACATAACCCCCAAACCCTGAAACGCCCAAAGCCCTAAACCCCTGAACCCGTTTTAGCCCACAACCCTACAGGCCTTAAACCCAAAACCCTAAACACAAAACGCTAAACACAAAACCCCAGAAGAGGCTGGTGCGGCTCAGGGATTCTTTCTTTGGGGAGCTTCTCAGGCCCGCATGCGATTGAAAGGGCTCCGAGGTCCCTCCAGTTGAGGGGTTTTGGGGCCTCCAAGGCGAGTAGTGAAATCATTCTCGGCGAGGGGCCCCATATCGTGCGTGAACGCGACAAGAAAAGTCCCGAAACGTGCCCCCATTCCATGTCCCAGCACCCGTTGTAGGTCTGAGGGTTAGGACAACCCTAAACCCCAAACCCGAAACCCTAAACCCGAAGCCCTAAACCCTAAACCCTCAACCCTAAACCCTAAACCCTACACCCTAAACCCCGAACTCCTAACTTCCACGGCCTTCACGCTCTCAAGAGCAGGGTAGAGTGTGGGCAGGAACTTCTGGCAGCTAAGCTCGATCCATCCTGCGCGCCAGATCTATGAGACTCTCCACACCCCTTAATCTCATTTTAGGGTTTAGGGTTCAGGGTTTAGGGTTTAGGGCTAGGGTTTAGGGCTAGGGTTTAAGGCTTAGGGTTTAGGGCTAGCCCTCACAGGCTGGCTTGTGGTGATGAACCCCCATGCACCCCTTAATATCAAAAAAATCATCTGCTATAAGACAGGGAGGAAATTATTCGGCGGAGGGGATAAAATCTAAAGTTCAATAGCTCAGGACTACAGAAGTGCAACCTTTCGCACGCCCGCCCACATGGATTAGGAGCGCTCTTTGGTCCCTGCTGTTCATGGTCACGAACATGTTCTCAAATAGTTCGAGATCCGAACGGGCCCGGAACAAGAATACTAAGTTGATTTTGGGAGGAGTGAGGGGATGAGGGGTTCTTAAAAAGGGCCTAGGTGATTTTGGGGGGGAGTGAGGGGAGTAGGGGCTTGAACACAAGGCTAGGAACAACAAACTCCGTGACACACCATTCTCCTCTTTCTGCGTTCGTGATGATCACGACCTGGCAGACGTCTGCGCACTCGAGGCTTGGATTTCTTTTGCTGGACCTTCGCCCAAGAAGGTAAAACTCTAGAACCCGAAACCTCCTGAGAGCCTCAAAGCCTTCGCCAACCCTACAAACCCTAAACCCTAAACCCAATCTGCCAGGCAGGCGGTTCCGAGCTGCTTGGCCAATCGCAGCGTCTCCGCCGCAGCCGTGGCTACCTCCCCCCGATTCTGCGGCTTGGGGGGATTTAAGGTTTAGGGTTGAGGGACTGCTTTGCCCTCAGAAGCTTTCTGTGGTGTTGAGGGTTGTTGGGGGTTGTTGGGGGTTGTTGGGGGTTGTTGGGGGTTGTTGGGGGTTGTTGGGGGTTGTTGGGGGTTGTTGGGGGTTGTTGGGGGTTGTTGGGGTTGTCGATGTTGTGAATGGCCAAAGGTCCAACCCTGAGCCCGAAACCCTAAACCCTAAACCCGAAGCCCCAAACCCTAATCCCTAAACCCTGAACCCTAAACCCTAAACCCTAAACCCTAAACCCTGAACCCTGAACCCTGAACCCTAAGCCCTAAGCCCTAAACCCTGCCATCCTTCTGCCTCCTGGCCCGCCTCGAAAAGCTGCTTCCTATGGTGGGGCATGACTTCAGAACCTCAGCACCACGTTTGGGCTCTTAGGCTTTGGGGTTTTTGGGGTTTTTGGGGTTTTTGGGGGTTTTGGGGGTTTTGGGGTTTTTGGGGTTTTTGGGGTTTTTGGGGTTTTTGGGGGTTTTGGGGTTTTTGGGTTTTTTGGGGTTTAGGGTTTGGGGTTGAGGATTTTGGGCTTTCGGGTGTAGCGGCTTAGCGGGATCTTCCAGATGGTTCCGTGGAGTTCCTGACGTCAGGGCCTGGGTCTCTAAGATGCACAGAGACTCCGATTTGCCAGGAACACTCCTTACATCATGTAGGGTTTAGGGTTTAAGGTTCCCTGCTATGCCATGCTCTTCCCTATCTAAGGATATTGGAGCCTCTGCAGATCGTGGGCGCTGATAGGCTGATAGGGGTTTCGAGGTTTAGGGTCGAATCTTCTCCCTCGGTGTTTTTGTCGTAGGCTTGAGTATGCTTCGTGTCGCGCTGCTATGGCTTGTGGCCCTAAAGTATGAGAAACAACTAGAAGGTCTTGGGTTTCGGAATTGCTTGGACAATCGGAGGACTGAGTAAGAACTCCAATTCGGGTCCCTTTTGGGGTACTTAGAAGTCTACTTACTATCTACTTATATACTAAGTTCCCCGACCCTCAAAATCGGGTTTAGGAAATGCAGGGTGTAGAGCTACGCCCCTACAGCGCAGCCCATCCCCTAAACCCTAGATCGCCCCAAAACCCCTAAACCCACCCCCCTCAACCCTAAACCCTAAACCCTAAACTCTAAACCCTAAACCCTAAGCCCTAAACCCTACCCCACACTTGAGCCGCCAACTCTCGTCAAGGCGTAAGCCTTGGCTCTGCACCTCAGACGGGGCGTTGGGAGCCGAAATCCAGGGTTTACAGTTTAGGGTGTAGGATGTAGGCTAAGGGTCTGGACCATCATAGCAAAAAAAGCGCTGTCTGTCTCTCTGCCCCTCTCTGCCACACTCTGCCCCTCTCTGCCCCTCTCTCTCTCTCTCTCTTTCTCTCTCCTTCCCGTCCTCTGAATGGCTCCAACAGGCACAGAAAACATGACTAAACCCCTATTGACTCATCTCAACCCTCTCCGACCAACCTCCTGAAACCTTCAAGCCTTACCCAGAGGCTTCTCAGAGCTGGGTCTCTGCAGGTGTGGGGGCTGGGACTGCCGAAGTGGCCCAACACTAACATAACTCGGTTTTTTCGGTGCTTCGAAGCTGTAAGCCCAAATGGCCCAACCCCGCAGCCCGCCGCCACCGCCAGCCCACCGCCAGCATTCCCTGAGTGCTGTGCCCAAGAAGAGGGGAGAACCGTGTCGTCCCAGTCGAAGATGAGAAGGGTGTCCTTCCACTGAGTTCAAGGGGGGGGAACCGGGTTTAGGGTTTAGGGTTTAGGGTTTAGGGTTTAGGGTTTAGGGTTTGGAGTTTAGGGTTTAGGGATGGCCGACGTGACACAGCTTCCACCTTGAGGATGCTTTGGGCGCGAATAGTACAGCGAAGCGTTTCTTACTTCCGTGCGCCGACAGGTTTCCTCAGCAGCGCCTTCGGCGCACCTTTTGCGGCTGCTGTGCAGTACGGCCGCCTTCAAATTGCAACCTATAATTAATATGGCGACATCTCGAACAATATTGAAACCGGAAACAGGGTTTAGGGCTTAGGGTTTAGGGGTTAGGGTTTAGGGGTTAGGGTTGAGGATTTCGGGTTTAGGGGCTTTAGGGTTTAGGGGTTTACTGCTATGCATCATGGTGTGTTTCAAGAAGGCGCATGTCTCCAAGCAGCTGTCAGTCTTTAGGCCTTCCAACAACGTGCGACCATATATATATATATACATATATATATATATATATACATATATCGCGACACGACAGCACGCACCAGGTCTTGCGGTTCTCACACTAATGCCGATGATCGCGGCGTGCACCTCTCTCTTCGAATGCTGTCGGACGCCTCATGTGAAGAATGTGACGAAGATGGCGCCCCTAACCCTCACATCCCAAACCCCAAACCGCAAACCCCAAACCCTAAACCCTAAACCCTAAACCCCAAACCCTAAACCCTAGACCCCAAACCCCAAGCCCTCAGCAGCACCTTCTCAAGTGGGATCTGTCCTCGTAGGACACTGGGGGGGACTCAGGGCCGTCTGGGCTCTCCGCCTGGAGACGAAGGTTCCATGGACCCAAGCATCCCTAGGAGTTTAGGGTTTAGGGTTTAGGGTTTAGGGTTTAGGGTTTAGGGTTTAGGGTTTAGGGTTTAGGGTTTAGGGTAGGGGTGGTTTTTAAGGGGTTCAGGGATTGTGGGGTTTCGGGCTTGCAGTAAGCGATCCATGGCGTCTCCCAGCCTCTCCGGCTGCAGTATGACCTGCCACGAAACACACTGGGTTTGGGGTTTGGGGGTTTGGGGGTTTAGGGTTTAGGGTTTAGGGTTTAGGGTTTAGGTCTAGGCTTATACTGGGCCTGTCGGGTTCTGCTGTCATGCAAAGACTTCACTTTGCAACCCTTTGAGAATTTAAATGTCGTCAAAAGGCACAAGAGTACTCTAAGCCCATGCCTGTAGGGCATACAAGGTTTAGGGTTTAGGGTTTAGGGTTTAGGGTTTAGGGTTTAGGGTTTAGGGTTTAGGGTTTAGGGAATTGATTGAACTGCCAGTCTGGCAGTGGGTTTAAAAACCTAAACCCTTAAATCCTTGAACCCTTCCAACCCTCAAACCCACAAACCCCCCTATATATCCCCGAGAATGAAAAACCCCCTAACCATCCCGAAAAATCCCAATTCCTGGATGCTTTCCGAAGCCCTCCCCCAAGTCGGCCTTCTTCTGTGGAGGAACTGCCTTCCTCGGTGCTTGCCTCGTCATCTGGAACCAGAGGGGGGCCTGGGGCTCACAGTCGGTGGCTTCGGGTTTTAAGGTTTGGGGTTCAGGGGGTTTAAGGTTCAAGGTTTAGGCTGTAAGGTTTGGGGCCTTAGGGTTTGTGATTTGGGGTTTAGGGTTTCAGATTTAGGGGATTTGGGTGGCGGCTAAGGGCTTACAGGGTTGAGGTTTCCCTCTACAGTACCTCAAAGGAAGTGGAGTTTGACCCGACATGTAAGGGTTCCCCTTTTTCAAGGAGTATCCTGTTGGCTCCCGTGACATTGATTTTCACGTGTACCCATACTGACACGACGTGCTTTACGACCTCCCTGAATCCCGACAGGTCTGAGCCCTTGCAAGATATTTGCATACATAGGCCCGAGCCCTCAACCCTCAGAAACCCCAAAACACCTAACGCCCGGATTCCCCGAAGCCCCAAATCTCTGCAGCTGTAAAGCTCTAGCTCCCTGCACATATTCCGTAAAAACGCCTGAAGCCCTAAACCTAAAAAAAACCATAAACGCTAAACCCCAAAGCCTAAACCCTACTAAACCTAAACCCTAAACCCTAAACCCTACTATCAGCTTCAGAGCCCTAAGGAATCGGCCCTCTTGGAGCAGCTTCGGGAGGTTCGCCTGCTCGTGCACCCACCTGTGTTTAGTAGGGTTTAGGGTTTAGGGTTTAGGGTTTAGGGTTTAGGGTCTAGGGTCTAGGGTTTAGGGTGTGGGGCTGAAGTTTTCGGGGCTTTTGGGCTTCTGAGTAGGAAGATAGGATCATGTTAAAAGAAGAGTAGGGTTTAGGGTTTAGGGTTTGGGGTTTAGGGTTTAGGGCTAGACATAACAAAAACAACCTAGAATGCCTACCCATGAACCAGACCAGGATCTTTGGATCGTCGACCCTAAACGTCAAGGGCTTTTAGGGTTTTGGGTTCTTGGGTTTAGGGTCTGGGGGGGTGAGGGCTTTCCTAAACTGGGGACTCCGCCGGTTATCCACCACGTTGCTGTAGTTCTTGATGCTGTCGGGATCCTCGGGCACTAAAAGAACGTGGATGCTGGCTGCTGGTAAGAGCCTAATCCCGAAAACCCTGGTCCCGAACCCCCAAACCCTGAACCAAACCCCAAGAGACCGCGGACTCCTAGGGTGAACCTTCAAGGTTCAGAGTTCAGAGTGTTATAGGGGTCTAGGGCCTGGGGATTACAGGGATTACAGGGCTGCGAGGTTTCTAGGGCTTCAACGGCTTAGAGGCTTTTCGCAGGGCTATTTGCAAAGGGTTTGGGGCGTTGGTGGGGTTTAGGGATTATGCGACAGATCCCAACTTAACCACGTCGAGTACGTGGTTCTGCGGATGGTGACCCCTCGAAGTCAGGAACCCCTCTCTAGCCCTTTCAGGGCTTGGGGTTTAGGGTTGCTTGTTGTGATACATTGCTCATCATGGAGGTTTAGGGTGTAGGTTTTCCTGAATACCCGCGCACAATAGGGAATCAGACAGCGTACTTATGCCAGGACTTTGGCGGACACCTGCCGACTGTAAGATGCGCTCTCGTTTTCGGGATTAGGGTTGAGGGGCACTCAACACTCAAAGTGAGGGGGCTACGTGAACCCTCAACAGTGGCATCATATGCCCTAGCACTACTAGAACATTATTAAAATGCATGTGAACGATAATCCTTTTGACTGTACTCCCTGGGGCAAAAATTCTGATTTTACCTGTTTCTTAGGAAGTATAGTACCCAAAATTCTGAGATCATTCTCAAGTATCCCTTAGTTGAAGGCCTCCTCAGTCGACAAATGATAACTCTCAAAATTTACTCAAAATCCACATCCGTCCTCCGTCGGGTGGTAGATGCCAGGGCCCAACTGCCAAGGTGCATACGGCGGTTTAGAAATACAGCTTTCTTTCGTTTTCATGTGCTCTCTCCATATCTTCTATTTTTGGTATTTGTTTTTGGGAAGGGGGGGGGGGGGGCAAGTTTAGGAGCTTAGGATGAAGAGCATCTGCTTTTCGGAGTTTGTGGAGGCTGCACATGGCTGGTGGTAGTCAGCAAGTGGAGGACCCTACTCTGCCATGTGCATGCGTTTTGTTGCTGCAATCCGCCCTCTTTGGTGCGATCTGCTGGGCACTCCTTCTTTTGGGATCTCGACTCTCTGCAAGAATATGCTAGAGACATGAAGCCTTACCAACATGCCAAGCCGCCAAGCCGAAGCCAACCTCCCTGAACCCTAAACCCTAAACCCTAAACCCTAAACCCTAAACCCGAAACCCTAAACCCCGAAGGTTGACCCTTTAAGCCCTCGGAGAAACCTTCCTAGAACCCTCGTAAATTACTAAAGACAATGAAGGGAAACAAACGCTCAAAACCGCATATGCGTACTCTAGGGACTTTTATAATTAGAATAGGGTTTGGGGAATCATTATAGTATCACTACAGGGGGCCAAAAGGTAAGACTATTTGTATTTACTCCGACCCAAGTTAAAGTTTCAGGGTGCACTAAACTCTAAACCCTAATCCCTAACCCCTAAACCCATCTGAGGCGATTGGAGAGCTCTTTGGGCTTCGAGTCTTTTCAGAGGAAAGCGCCCCCCGCAAAGAGGAGGCCAGGCCTGTCTTCGCGTGCCTCCAGCAAGAATTTAGGTTTAGGGTTTAGGGTTTAGGGTTTAGGGTTGAGGGTTGAGGGTTTAGGGCTTAGCGGGCTCTGCAGGCTGCTTGTTGCGAGATGGTGGTCGTGACCTGGGGGGATTGGGGGTAGGCGTCAAGCAGGCTGGCGGGGGAAGGGCCCCTAAACCCTCCACCCGAAACGCGCCCCTATTCCCTCAACCCTACCCTAAACCCCTAAACCTCTAAACCTATAAACTCCAAAATCCCTAAACCCTGGTAAAGGGCCCCTTAAGACTCGCAACTTCCCCCATAAACTCGAATCAAACTTTCATGGGGTAAAGGGTATGCGGTTTAGGAGGGGGTTTGGGGTTTAGGGTTTAGGTTTAGGGTTTCGGGTTTTGGGTGAGAGTCGTGAGCAAAGGAGGGGTAAGGGGGCAGGGTGTAGGGAGTAGGGGGGTAGGGAGTAGGGTGTAGGGTGTAGGGGGTGTGTACCTGAAACCTTAAACCCTAAGCCCTTTACTTGGAGGTTCATGGGTAATTAAACACCCCAATTATCAGTCCACTTCTAGCCTACTTAGAGGACCCAGGGGGCTTATGGGGTGCAGTTAAAATTGGGGTTATAAGCGCCCTGAACCTCCAAGTAGGCTTCGAGGGGTTCAGGGCGCGCACCTGGAGAGCAAGAATCCAAGTCGTCCTCGTCGTTTCGGGCTCGGCGTACGTCGGCGTTGCTGATCCCTGGGATTACTAAGCCCTAAACCCTAAACCCTAAACCCTAAACCCTAAAGCCTAAACCCTAGACCCCAAACCCTAAACCCCCTAAACGCTCTAAACCCTGATGCCCTACCTCTAAACCCGAAACACGTTAGGAGCTTCAGGGGCTTAGGTTTTGAGGGCCTTCGGGCTTTGAACCCCTAATCCCTCGTTTAGGGTTCCGGGTTTGGGGACTTATTAGAAACCTTGGGCCCTTATCAACATTTTCCCAAGCTCGAGGAAACACCTATCACTCGGAAGGCTTTCGGGAGGTTAGGGGGTTTCTAAGGGCTCTGGGAAGCAACTTGGGTTTTCCAGTAGTTGCTTAAGAACCCCAAAAAGATCAAAAACATATGCTTCCTTATAAGGGCAAGATAATAGGGATTGCTATTCTTGTTAGATTGTTTGGGGGTTCTTAAGCAAATAGTCGTGTTGAGACCGAAGATCACAACCGTCTTCGCGCAGGTGCGCGGGGGTTCTGGGCCCCGCGCCGACCACTGGATCGTTCAGGTAGCTCTTTGGTTTCGTCGGCTCCCGCATCCACCTGGGACAGCTTACTACCATTTGCTTAAGAACCCCCCCCCACCCCAAAACAAAAAAAGAGGAAGAATGCATTCTGTTTTTTTGGGGGTTCTTGAGCAAATAGTAGCTTCAGGGCATCCTGCAGGTGATAGGGGCGATGGGCTGCTATTGTCATGAGTGCTCTACTTCAGAGCTTGTGTCTGGCAATTAGCCCTGTAGACACCAAGCGGATTCTGAGACCGACCGCCCGCTGAAGCGGCCAGAGATGCCAAAGTCCCGGATGGTGGAATGGGCCTGGATGCGGGTGACGGGTGGGGGATTGGCTGTTCAGGAGTTTCGGACTTCAGGCTTCGGGCTTGGGACAGCACACGAGTGACTCACAGCACGCATGCACAGCCTGAACCCGAATTGGGCAAGACAACCGCATCCAGGCGAAACCCAGCTGAGCCGAACTTAATACAAATCAAGGTGGTCCCCTTTTCCTGTTGCAACTAGCGCTGATGAGGGCATCCGTGCCTGAGTGATAGAAGGAGCAAGCCTTGCAGCACATGACCCATGCGCAGCCTAATCATGTAGCCCACTCGCGGCCGACCAAAAGAGCGTAACTGCCCGTGCATGTTCGAGCAATTTTGCCTCAAAGGTAGGGGCACCCTCAGGAGGAGTGCCTGATCCATGCCATACCTTCACCCGGAAAGGCGTCTTATGAGAAGCCTGCATAGCTTGAACATATCTCACTCTGATCTCGTACTTGCCATGTGGCACGACCTCTCCGACCGAACACAAAAAGTATGAGTCAGGTCCACCTTGCCTGATGTTTCGGTAAGTGTGCACTTTCTTGTCAGGTGTGTAGACATGCAGGTCGAGGTCGCACAGCTCGTCCCAATAAAGAGACATGAGCAGCTCACCCTTCAACAGCGCAAGTGAAGCTCTGGCCCGCTGCACCACCCGGTCATCTATACCAAGCTCTTGTGCAACATCCAAAAATCTCTGCAAGACATGCGCGTCACCGTTCTCAACAGCTTTGTCAATCATTGGACTCAGTCTTGATTCAACTTCACTGAATGCAGCACGCACATCCTGCATCCCTTGCCTCTTGTCGAAACGAGCTTCATTGGATGCAGTGTCCGTCGTGTCCGTAGTTGCATCACTTGCACGTGCACTCGGCTGATCTTCCTCCAAGGTAATGGAGGCACCACTTTCGCTCAGCAATTGATAAGCTTGAACACTTTCATACTCCTTGCCCCAATCTATCATTTTTCGAATTGAACCCAAGTCGTTTGTCACTGATACGAGGTCATCCTGCTTGGCAAAAAAACAAGTCATCCATGCAAACATGGACTTGCTGCTGACCTTCTGAGAACTTGAAGATGCGGTTGCTATCTTCTTGACCTGATCATGCACATTGCCAAACTCGCGCTCGATGGCTTTCTTTAAGCGCCTGGCTTCCTGATGCACTTCTTGCGGACTGGCACCAGCTTCCTTGTAATTACTATTCAAGTGCAGGGGCGGACGACCCCGGTGACATGGACTCCACTACCCTGTCGACATTGCACTTGGCATCTGTTCGTCTGCATGCGACGTCGACCTCGACGCGTTCTTCTTCGAGCTTCTTCCACAGATCTTCGCATGATTCCTTTGAACGGTTCATTCTGTGCAGGGAATTCATGACGCCCTTCATACTTGTCTCGCTCTCCATGGGCACCAGTGGCTTTGCAGCGCTCAGCACAGCTTCAATTGCACTTTTAACCTGATTTCGCTGGTCTTCATCAAGCGGCTCACCTTTGTAAACAGCTGCAGCTTCCTGCCACTGCAACGCAGCAGATGCAAATCTGCAGTACAGCTCGCAATCATGCAGCAGAGACAGAACTGATTTTCCTGATGCTATCAATCCCGGATGAATAACGCCGAAAACGTAGCAAAGCAACTGGCCTGCTTGATGTAGATCCTTACACAGCTCCCGTGCGCCGCCAGCTTTGTATGCACTGACACGGCAGCTGATTGCGTCCGAAAGCCGCTGCAAGGACGAAAGACTGACTACAGTCCCAAATTCTGGCTGCCCACACTGTGGAAACCACGTGTTGACATCTAACCCTACAGAAAACCTCACGATGCTTTCCTTCGTCACTTGACCCTCAAGCGCCTCTGCACGAGCCCCATCCAGTGCTTGGGGAGCCCCGAAGGTGATCAGATACATGTTCTGCTTCATGCCCAACTTCACTGCAAACTCAAGACTTAAGGTGGCAATTATCCCACCGTCGCCGTGGCCAACAAACAGCACAGTGTGCACAGGATCTTCATCTTTTCGATCCCCGTTACAAAGGTGCTGCGTTAGGATCGCTTCACAAAATGAAGCCTTCTCTTCTGCTGCTTTCAGGAAAGGAAGCCGCAAATTGAGTGCTTCGCTCCACGATTCTGAGCCGGGCCATGCCACCATCAGCAGCCCGTCACGCCTGGCTATGTAGCCATGCACACGCTCCAACTTGTCATGCAGGTCCGGCATCGAGGCAATTATCTTCCATCCAGCCCCCTCCAGCGAGCCCTTCACGTGAAAGTTTTGATTCTCTGAATAAGCATAGAACGCACCAGCCGCACCAAAATCAACGATGCGCAGCGCGTCTGACCGACTCAGCAGGGCTTGCCGTCGCGTGCCATCCGGTGGATCCGTTTTCAGCATATTCAACGGTGGGGCCATGGGCCTAGCACTCCAAGGCATCCAGTCAGAAGAGCGTGGGACCCATCTTCCTTCAGCGGGACCGCTTTGCCGTCTGGCGAAGTGCCGTGCCAAATTCATGTCTCTAGCCAGTACTTGCAGGCATGCACGAACAGTCATTGTGATGCGAGGGCCAGCTGCCAAATCGGCTGAGCAATGCTCGTGTGTAAGCTAGTGTGTATGTTCACCACTGAGGCTGTCGAAACATGTTTTGGAGCATGGCGGCAGATTGCATCTGTCTTGGAACACGAGCACATCTCTGTCTCATATTATACTCATATAATACATATATATATGTACATATATATATATATATATATGCACTTCCGTATGGTAGTGACTGTGAGAACCTGGCCTCACAATCTCACTCCTGCAATCGCTAAATTAGGCCTGCCTGCAAGGCAGGATCTAGGTGTTGAGGAGACACAAGAACGCACAAGACTCTAGAATTCTCGGACCTGGCCCGGACACGACCTGAACCTGAACCCGAAAACCTACACAAGCTCGTATCCACAGCTCAGCCGCGCGCCATGATCTGAGGGGTGCTGTGGCTCGCGATTTGTTCTGGTCTACGCCCTCGTCCGTCCCCAAAAACGGCTGCGGCGTTGCACAGAAGGCTGGGGCGTCTTGGGGTTGGGGCCCGCGGTTTCAGGTGTGTTCCGCTGCACCTGCTATCGTGTTCCCCTCAAGACAGTCGAAGCTGGTTTTTCGCCCTGTTTACACGGTCTACAGGTCTCATATGATTATAACAGGGAGGAGTTTGTGTAAGTTCAAAAGGGGCAGCGATGCTCGGCAATTGATTTTAAAGGTGCACCGCGCGCAATTATTTTACGACACCCGGACGATTTGCCTTAATTGCGGGTCCCACTCTGCACCCCCAAACAGTCAGGGTGTCCTAACTAGCCCAGCCAATCTGGCTTTATTCAGGGGGCCTCTACTAAAGCAGGTGGAACATTAAACCCTAAACCTAGACCCTACATACTAAACCTAAGCCCCAAGATGTGAGGTCCGAAAGCACGCATTTTTTTGGTCCCCCAGAGCTCCTAGCGCCGAATTAGCCTCCCATAACTACCAAGCGGTTCCCTTCTTCGCTTTCAAAAGGTTTGAAAAGGGATCCTTTAAGGGAGGTGAACCCTCGCCTACTGTGGAGGCTTTAAACCTTAGAATGGGGTTTGGGAGGATATTATAGTATATCATAGGGGATACTATTAGAAATTCTTCCTATCCTCTGTATTACTGGGACGACTTAAGTCCATGTCTTAGGGTCGTCGGGGGCATCTCCCGTTAAGGGGTAAAAGGAGGGACCCCTAGAAGGGACCCTTAAATCTTATTCCCCTAAATAACCCTATGTATACCTATATAGTCCCTACTACATACCTAAGTAGCCCCAAATAACCCCTAAGGTCCCTTATACGGGTCCTCCTTCAGTTCCTCAATCCCATGGGCTGCAGGAAGTCGCTTGTACGTACACCTCGCTGGCTGGACGGCCTCCATGCTATAAGGACGCAACCCTAAGCCGTACACTCTAAGCACCCCCCAAGCCCTAAACCCTACCAAAACCATAAACCCTAAACTACTCCCAAACCCCTAACTTCTCGGACCCCAGCCCCCCACACGAAGCTTTTTCACTCCTTGATGTATCTCGCGCTGTGCCCACAGGTCTCGAAGGCCTTCCTCTGCGCCAGAACTGGCTCAGTGCCCCGGTCATTCCTGCAAGGCAAAGGCAATAGGGCCGATAGGGTTTACCGGGTTTAGGGTTTAGAGTTTAGGGGGGCAAACACGTTCTCTCTCTTTCTATGCGGATCCATCCTGTTTTTGGGGACATTCTTTCGAAGGAATCCTACAATACAGAAGGTGTCTGCCCGAAACCTAGTCTTTGTGGCTGCTACTATCAGCTTTCTTTGGAATGTTGGAATCTCAACTCACCGTTTGCGCAGGGTTTAGGGTTTAGGGTTTAGGGTTTAGGGTTTAGGGTTTAGGGTTTAGGGTTTAGGGTTTAGGGTTTAGGGTTTAGGGTTTAGGGTTTAGGGTGCAACCCTGAAGCGCGGGATTCCCGTGCATTGGCCCTTAGAAATCCCTGGTCTCCGGGGAACCCTAGCCTATTGAGTTGGGAAACCCCCCTTATACTAACAGTCCTTAACAGGGATTGTAGTACCCCCTACTAGAATCCCCATGAAGGACTGTTAGTCTAAGGGGGAACGTGTAACATCCCAAGAAACCACCATAACACAGGGGTGGTGTGACGAACAACTCCAAACCCTTACGCCCTAATCCGTAAGCCCTAAGCCCTAAACCCTAAACCCTAAACACTAAATAACCCTAAAGCCTAAACCCTAAACCCTAAACCCTATAACCCTATAACCCTAAACCCAAACCTCCCCAAATCTGATCCCCGGCATTGCTTGTTGGTGGCTTTTGGTTGAAGCCAATGTGCATGTACAATGTAGGGTCAAAATTGTCGTCCCTTTTGGGTGCCTAATAAATTACGGCACCTAATATTTAGGGTACCCGAACAGGGACCATAATTTTGACAACCACCCATGTGGATGTAAGGGGTTTAGGGAGTTTTTAGGGGCTTCTGGGGTGATGGCTTTGAGCCAAGCAAGATCTGGGGCGGGAGGGCGATTGAGAATATCAAAATACTCATGATATATCTCCACAGCGCATGGGAACTCGCACAACCATTGGGGTTTAGGGTTTGGATCTTAGGGTTTAGGGTTTAGGGTCTAGGACTTTGGGTGATTCAGATGATGCATAGTGGGGTTAGGGCTTGGGGGTTTAGGATTGTAGTGACCGGGCTTCTTGCTCCTAAGCGCCTCTTAAACACTGTACTCTCACACCAGTCCTAAGCCCCTCAACCCTGGACCTCGGGATGTTCTCCCTTGTAGTAACCGTCCTTCTTAGGGATTCTTGTACCCCCTATTCTAGGGGTGGACTGTTAGTATAAACGGGGGAACATGCGGCCAAACAAAACCCCGTTAAAGCCCTTAAAACCCCTTAAAGCCCTTACAAACCCCTTAAAGCCCTAAAAACCCAAACCCCTTAAAGCCCTTAAAAACCCCTTAAAGCTCTTAAAACAGAGCCCAAACCCCTTAAAGCCCCTTAAACAACCCTTAAACACCCCCTACCACTCGCAAAGGCCCACAAAGCCCCTTGAACTGGGTTAGCCTTTGTGCCCTTTCAAAAACATTGACATCTAGGGGGCGCCTCATAGAACTAAACCCTAAACCCTAAACCCTAAACCCTAAACCCTAAACCCTAAACCCTAAACCCTAAACCCTAAACCCTAAATAAGGAAAACACAAAATGTATGGGGGGTTTACGAAGATCGGGGACCCCTAATATAGACCCCCAAACAGGAAGATTCCCTTATATTTAACGGACCCCAATGAGGTACCCCGAATTTCGGAAACGCCCCTAAAATCCTAAAACCCTAAATCCCTAGAACCCTAGAACCCTAAAACCCTGAAACCCTAAAACCCTGAAACCCTAAAACCCTAAAACCCGAAACCCAAACCCCATATCCCAAAAGCCAACCTAGTAAAGCCCTGACCCTATAAACCATAAACCCTAAACCCTAAACCCTAAAGCCTAAACCCCCAAAGGCGGACCTCACGGCTTCGCCCCCTGCCATGCCGGGCCACGAAGCGCCCGCCTCCCAGACGTGTTGGCGCATGTTCAAGAGGGTTGAGGGGGTTTAGGGTCTAGGGTGAGAACCGTTTCGGGTATCCTTCTCTGGGTTTTCTACTCCAATTAAACCCTAAACCCTAAACCCTAAACCCTAAACCCTAAACCCTAAACCCTAAACCATGGGGACGCTCAAAGCTCAGGCGCAGCATTCTACTGCTCACCACTTAGGATTTTTTCGTGAACAGCGCGTGCTTCCACAAGAGTCGCAAAGACCCACAGCTCTCACACCCACAATGGTGCCACTCCCAGACCAGAATTTGGCCGCATTCGTATGATGCGACGCAAGTCACATTCACAATAACGTCACTATACTCCCCTTAGAACCTTAAGAAAGATAATATGTTTAATATCCTCTTGGGTTCTATTATAAACAAAAAATAGACAATAATTCCCAAGGGGGATATAGTTTCATGTGTACAGGATGCCAGAATCGAGCCCATGCTTTGCCACGAACAGCCATGGCCCTACCGGTTTCATCCGTGGGCATTGTGGCCATGCTCGAATCTGAAACACGATGTCAACTTCATTCGGGTGGCTTAGGGCTGCTAAGCCACAGGAAACGAAAGGAGTCGACCGATTTTTCCAAACTTCAGCCCTTGAATCATTGGGTTTAGGGTTTAGGGATAGACTCTGATCAATGTTACTTCCCAGCAACTCTCACATACCCCAGCTGAAAGAAAACAAAGTTGCACCAGCCAAGCTTAGAAAGCCATGGACTGGGATCCCAACAAGAACTCGCGGTGAAACGGGACACAGGCCCTGTTGCATCCTCCCGCGCGCCTGCCCGGTTTTGGCGAACGCGACTATGGAGGCATTACGGCTAAACCCTAAGCCCTAAACCCTAAACCCTAAACCCTCATCAGCTCTGACACGGTTCCACCCAATGTCACCCAATGTCACGCATTGGTGTGGCACCAAGGCAAAGACTCGATTCACGTTCGTGCGACTTGTGTATGCTTGTGTGCTTGAAACAGACAAAGAGCTCAAGAGCAACGAACAAGACATGCAGTTCACAGAGGACCTAAACCCTAAACCCTAAACCCTAAACCCTAAACCCTAAAAGAAACGAGTCTCCTCCTTGCCACAGCGTGTGCACAATGGACCGGCCACTGCTCTGCTTAAGCTCTTACAGGTGGCAACCATCGCTTCAACAGGCTGTAGGCTGATTCTACACGGTTTAGGGTTTAGGGTTTAGGGTCTAGGGTTTAGGGTTTAGGGTTTAGGCCCTCCCATGCCGCTACATGTTGCATGCCGGGTATTTGTGCCTCCTGGTTGATTCTGATGACACAAAGCGGACGTTGTGCTCATTCTTCAGGCCAGAGCGACGAGACATGAAAGACAGGGGGCCTGGGCGGCCTGTTGTTTGCTTACCCCTAAACCCTAAACCCTAAACCCCAAACCCTAAACCCTAAACTCTATACTAAAGTTAAACCTTGTTTATACATCAGCTTTGAAAAGCCCAGGCCCAAAGCTTCGAAAGCACAGTGGAGCTCAGAGAAACTCCCAAGTCTGCCTCTTTCCTATGGATGGAAAGGAAAAGGTTTGGGCGTTCGAAGAAACTACCAACCACAAAGCAGGGGGGTGCCTCAGCTGATTGAGTTCATGTGGTTTGCTGTTGAGCTGCCAATTCAGTAGCCCTAAACCCTAAACCCTAAACCCCAAACCCTAAACCCTAAACCCTAAACCCTAAATCTCTTCAGCGGTTTCTAGATTCTAGATGCTGCAATCTTGTCAACTCAATCACAAGATGAAGCACCCTCGGACTCCGCGCCCTCTTCGTCACTAGCTGGCCACCCGTCGATGACCGTGAGCTCGATACATGCCACATAGGCCTTCGGCGGAAATCGCGTCGGGTTGTGGGCAAGAACGTGGTGCTTCACTTGTCCTCGGGTTGGCTCCTGTGGCCTGCCATGCACCAAGCCTGATCGCTCGTCAAGCGCTACTCCAAGCGGAAGCTTCGGAACAACGACAAACCAGCAGCCTGGCAGGGATACCAGCGGGCAAAGCACCACTTTCTGACCCACACAAAACTCGAGGCTGCAGGGCGGGTAGAAGTTGTTGTGCCGAAACAGCATAGGAGGCGCGGGCTTCATGGACAAGCTTGAACAGTACGCTTCAACCTGCTTCAGGATCTTCATCAATTCTGCCAGACTGGCAGCATCGATCGTCGGCAGCCGGTTGTTGCCTCTGGCAAGTCTGCAAAGCATTGACGAGGATGGTGATAGTTGGCTGCAAACGCTTTGCTTGACTTGCAGCGAATGCACCATGCCGTTTAAAGCCTGTGCCTTTCCAAAATGCTTTGGCAAGGACCTGCTCAGATCTTCTTTCACAACATGTGGCAAGAATGGATAGCTCGCCTTCGGTGTCAAATCATGACCCGTGCTGGCCACAGTTGTTGCCTCGCTTGAGGAACCATAGCCAGTATTGCCAGCCACATAAGTCATATTCCCACCAGCAGACACCGCAAAACAGTCTAGATTGCAAAGCTGAAAGCGACCTGCGCGCTTGGTTTCCGCGCCGGCGAGGAGATGCGAGCAGGTTGCGATTGATGCAGTGGCGCTTTCTGACCGTCTGCGTTGCGGTGAACTACTATCTACGAATACAGCTTGAATCCACGAGTATCACAAAGTGTCTCAGGCACCTCGCAGCTATCACCGGAATCCTGTCGCTAGTTACCACCCCACATGCCTGAATTGGGTACTTGGAGGTTCATGGTACTTCTTAACCAACTATAACTGTACTTATAACCCACTTGTAAGCCCCTTAAGTGCCCTAATAAGGTTTTAAGTACGGTTAAAAGTACAGTAAACCCCAAACCCTAAAACCTAAACCCTAAACCCCTCTAAGTAAAGCTCTAATTGCTTAAGAAGTACCATGAATCCTCCAAGTACCGGACCGGCCCTTGTGTGTGGATGCGCTGGGGGTGGGTGGGGGGGTGGGGTAGAGCGCACTCGGGATTGTGGGGGGGCTGTGCCGACATTGGATGAGGACCCCTTACAAAGCTTTAGGGTTTAGGGTTTAGGGTTTAAGGTTTAGTAAAGTTCAAGGTTTGGGATCCTAACCCTCAACCCTAAACGCCCTGTGAAAAAAAAACAACAGCCCCGGCCTGCTTGGTTCCAGTTCTCCTTCTCCTTCCCGGTCTCAGGCCTAAACAATTTTGGGGTTATAGGGTTCTTTGCGTGAGATTCAGGGTGTAGGGTTAGGGTGTGAGTGTAAGATTTAGGGTTTAGGGTTGAGGGCCCTCAGTGCTGTGTCTAGGTGGCAGGGTTTACAGGGTTGAGGTGCTCTCTTTGTTCGAGGTTTCTGCACGGTGTTCGGGGTGTAAAGAGAGCTCGACGCGCTAAACCCCTAATTGTTGTTAGAATACCTCAGGACCATAATCGGCTTGCTCATGACAAACTACAAAACTAAGCCACCGAGGTAGCGTCATGACCCTAAAGCTTCGCCATCTAAATCCCGCAAAACCCCCAAGCCCACACCCCCCTCAACCTAGGCAGGTTGCACAAGAATCTTTAAGCCCTACAACCCTAAACCCTAAACCCTAAACCCCATACCCCCCTTTCCTCCCCCACAAACAAACAAAAAACAAACAGTGCCTGGTAGCCGACGACCTTGTCCGCAAGGTCCTGGTGGAAGAAATTGGGGGGTTTACAATATTCGCGGTACCTTCTTGGGGTCCTTTTTACAAGGGGATCCTAGAATTTGGGCGTCTATCTCCGGGCTCCCGTATTTGAGACCATGTCCACCAAGTAGGGCTCAGGGTTCAGGGTTTGGGGCTCAGGGTTGAGGATTTCGAGCTTCATGAAGGGAACATGGGTGCAGTACCAGGGTGAAGGGCAGTTCTAACCGAGGAGCTCTCCTGGCAAGTCGTAGGGCTTTAGAGCTGCTCATGCCTCAGGGAGTTTAGGGGTGTAGAGGTTTAGGGTTTAACGGTTTAGGGCTTAGAGTTTACAAACCATGGTCTCACTGGACGGCCGCGTTTGGAGCCTGGAGGAGTGGGCTAAACCCTAAACCCTCAACCCTAACGCCCCCTTCAAGCCCCATGATAAGGACCGTCGAACCTCCCAACCTCTTAAGAAATGCACCGCCGTATTCGGTAACAAACTAATCCCCGCTCAAAAGAAAAACCAACATGAACCTAAACCCCATAAAACCCGAAAGCTCAGTGACTGTAAGGCCATCACCGCCACCGGTGCAGGGGTGAGGAGGGCTCCAGGGTTTGGAGGTTTCCGCGGCACTCGCATGCTTGAAACGCTCCGAGACGCACCCTAAACCCTAAAACCCCAAAACCCCGAAGCCCTAAAACCCTACAACCCCAAAACCCCAAAACCACAAAAACCAAAACCCTGATCCTTTCCACTGCAAGGTCGGCGGCATGAGCCGAGAGCTCTTGGGCTGAAAAAAGAAGCCCTAAGCTCCCAAACTCCCAAACTCCTAAACCCTGAACCTTAAGCCCTGCAACAAGTAGGTTTGAACTCCAAAACTCCTAAACCCTCAACCTTGAGCCCTGCAATCAGCTTAGGGTTCAAACACCTAAACTTCTAACACCTGAATTTAAGCCCTGAAATGAGCTTAGGGTTTCGGGTTGCAAGCCCTGCACGCCTCGAGAGCCAAGGCAGGTATTACTCCGGGCGCTTTTGCCGCGACGGCTTGTCAGCCGTGCCAGACCTGAAGCACTCTGGGGATGTGGGAGACCCTAAACCCTAAACCCTAAGGGCTTAGGGTTTAGGGTTTAGGGTTTAGGTACCTTGTATTACCTTGTGTTGCCTTATGATTACTCTCTTCTATTGCCTTTTGTCTTACTTGATTCTGATACTGCCCTATGTTTCCAAGAATTGCCTCTTTTCATCAACCTATAAACCCAGTAAGGGAATGTGTGAGGGACCATGCTTAGTATTCTGTGACGGCATAACAAGGATGACCAAAGGGATGTTTGCAAAGAACTCTTGTTATATAACCTTTATATACACTATATGTATATATATATATATGTTTATTTATTTATTTATGTATATCTAATAAGGGCCTTGAAGAGTAAACTCTAAACCCAAAATCCTAGTCACAGCTCCGACCCCCAGCCCCGCCAATCCCCACGCGGCTTTCTCAAATTTTGCGTACCTTGCCGCGTCCGAAGGTTTAGGGTTTAGGGTTTAGGGTTTACGGTTTAGGGTTTCTAAAGGCCGTCCCCTGCGTCAGAACCAGCCGGAGTTGCGCGGGGTCCAGCTCGTGCCTGATGGGCAGGGTCGCTAAGAAGGCTTTAAGATGCCTTTGCCTTCGGGTTTAGGGTTTATGGTTTAGGGTTTAGGGTTCAGGGTTTTGGGTAGCTTTCAGGGGCGAATTCTTTGGACGTCAATTGGCCTCTTTTGGCTTTGCCTTCGGCTTTGCCTTCGGCTTTGACTTCGGCTCCGACTTCGGCTGGGTCTCCACCTTGCCAAAAGGGTTTAGATTTTAGGTTTAGGGTTTAGGGGCTAGGGCTTCAGCGGATTCGAGTTCCGAATTTCGGGTTTCGTTGCTACAGGCAGCGCCATGTACATGTGCATGGCTTCCGCAGTGTGCTTTCAAGGACGGCTGCAAAGAGAAGGAGGCAGACTGCTCGTTCCCTAAAGGGTCCGCCTTAAATTAGACTCCCAATACGGGCCAGGGTTTAGGGTTTAGGGTTTAGGGTTTAGGGTTTACGGTTTAGGGTTTAGGGTTTAGGGTTTAGGGTTTAGGGTTTAGGGTTTAGGGTGTAGGGTTTAGGGTTTAGGGTTTAGGTTAAAGGGTCCCCCAAAGAGGGTACAACCTTTAGGGCTGTTGGTTTACAAACACTCCCGCGCCACGCGAGCATGGGAGATTCATCGAATCAAGCGGGTGCAGAAAACCACCGAGCTCGAGCTGCGGGGGTTTTAGGGTTTAGGGTTTAGGGTTTAGGGTTTAGGAAGTTGCTGATACTGGTTGAGTGCAGATTCGGGATCCAAAAGGTGTTCCCTTGCCCAGATTGGCCACCACAACCCCTAGAAGTCCCTAGCTAGGTCCCTATAGGATCTATATAGGGTATAGGGTTTAGGGTTTAGGGTTTAGGGTTTAGGGTTCAGGAAATCACCTCAACACAGAGGGTTGACGATAAAACAGAGTAGCAGCAACAACTCCAAACCTATAGCATGGGATGATTCCCCGTATGCTAACAGTCCTCAATAGGGCTTCTAATAGGGGGTACCGTGCAATATAATCCTTATTAAGGACTGTTAGTCAATATAAGGGGGAACATCCCAACAACAGACCCCAAACCCCAAACCCCAAACCCCAAACCCCAAACCCCAAACCCCAAACCCCAAACCCCAAACCCCAAACCCCAAACCCCAAACCCCAAACCGCAAACCCCAAACCCCAAACCCCCAACCCCCAACCCCAAACCCCAACCCCAAACCCCAAACCCCAAACCCCAAACCCCAAACCCCAAACCCTAAACCCTAAACCCTAAACCCTAAACCCTAAACCCTAAACCCTAAACCCTAAACCCTAAACCCTAAACCCTAAACCCTAAACCCTAAACCCCAACCGCACCTCGGGGTGCTTCTTGGGTCGTCCCTTCGGACGGCCCTTTGGCTTCGCCGTTGGGGCATCGGCCTCGCGCCAAAGAAACGGCTTAGGTTTCAGGGTTGCAGGGTTGTACGGTTTTAAGGGGTGTTTGGGCTTAGAGGCTTAGAAGTTTAGGCATTTCAGGGTTTCAGGGTTTCAGGGTTGCGGGGTTTTAGGGTTTCAAGGGTTCAGGGTGCAGGAGTTTAAGGGTTGTTGGGTTTCAGGGTTTAAGGGTTAGGGTGCAGGAGTTTAAGGTGTTGGGGGAGTTGGGGAGGGGGAGGTTGGCTTGACGGGTTGGGGGTCTTCGGGGTTCGGAGTTTAGGATTTAGGCGATGTAGGGCTTAGGGTGTAGGGTTGTAGGATTGAGAGACTTGGTTGAGGGCTTAAGATTCTATTTCTAGGTTCCCCAGCCCCCCCCTCCCCCCCCGAATATGGCCCTTATACTACCTGAAGGATCTTGAAAAAGGGTCCCCAAAACCCGAGGGTACAACCTCAAGGGTCCAAGGAAAAACTGGCGCTGGTTCTTAGTAGGGAATGAGGGAATGAGGGCCCGTATATTCTACCCTTTGAGGGATTAAGGGTTTAGGGCCCTCATTCCCTCGTTCCCTACTAAGAACCAGGGGGAAAGCCCCTAGATTGCGGGAAGGTTTGGGGGACTTCCATGCTTTCGGCACGCCTCTGTCAAGACCGCCCTGACGAACTTACCCTGAGCCCGACATCCGAAACCCTGAGCCCTAAACCCTAGCCCTAAACCCTAGCCCGAACCATAGATCCGAAACCCTAAACCGCAGCTCCCTAACATGCGATCTGAGTCCCAGAGTCCAGCGCCTAGGGTTTAATTAGGGGTTGAGGTTGGGGGCTTTATAAACCCTAAACCCTAAACCCTAAACCCTAAACCCTTATAGGGTTCAGGAGCTCAGGGGCTTGGGGTTGGGATCCCAAAAACAACTGATGCTTGGTGCATTGCTTCCGATCTTATGGTCCTACCTAACATGTTCCCTATAGTTTAAGAAGGCACCAGGTCTGCGCCCAAACCCTAAACCCTAAACCCTAAACCCTAAACCCTAAACCCTAAACCCTAAACCCTAAACCCTAAACCCTAAACCCTAAACCCTAAACCCTAAACCCTAAACCCTAAACCCTAAACCCTACAACCTCAACTGTACAACTTCGTGACTTTTGAGCTTGGCGTTCTTGGGTGAGGGGGCGTTTGGGGTTTAGGGTTTAGGGTTTAGGTTTCGACCTGCTCCCCCACCACACAGAGAGAAAGCTGAAGAACAAGGGCTGCAGGGTTTAGGGCTCACACAGGGGGAAAAACTCCCACCCCCGCGCCTCGACCGTGGGCGCATCATCGTCGGAAGCTATCACCACAACCCCAGCCTGCAAACGTCAACCCTAAACTTCTCTCTCTTGTGGCTTTAGGGTTTAGGCTTTGGGGCTTCGGGGGTTTAGAGCTTAGGGGTGCAGGGCATCGGGTTGAGTCGAGGGTAGGGGTTTAGGGTTTCGGGTTTAGCACGAACGGGTGTGTTTGCAAGCCTTCGAGACCCTGAATCCTCAACCTTTCCGGGTTTCCTAGGCTCTAGGGATCAGATGAAAAAGCTAGCACTCGAGGAACCTAAGCGCAAACCTCATCTGGGTCTAAAGGCTTTAGGGCTTCGGGTTTGGGATTCTAACCCTAAACCCTAAGCCCTAAGCCCTAAGCCCTAAACCCCAAACCCTAAACCCTAAACCCAGGTTCCTAGGTTATTGCTCGGCCCCTCTCACAGTCGGAGGATCCTCAACAGCTGAATGTGGGGATTTCCGACAACAGGGGGTGCCCTTTTGGGGTTCCCATACTGAGGATTATACCATTTTTTGGGGTATATTAAGGGCACCCCCCTAAACCCTAAACCCTAAACCCTACACCCTACACTCTACACCCTACACCCTAAACCCTAAACCCTAGACCCTAAACCCTAAACCCTAACCCCCCCCCCTATTTTGCAAATGCCCATGTGGGAAGGTACAAAGATATTTCAAAAGGCCAACTTCGATCCTCAAATCACTCGGATTTCCAAAATTTACCCAGCCGACTCCCCCCCCCCCCCCCAAACCTCCGAAGCCAATAAAAAACCTGCTTGACAGGGTTTACGGTTTAGGGTTTAGGGTTTAGGGTTTAGGGCTTAGGGTTTAGGGTTTAGGGCTGAGGGTTCAGGGTTTAGGCTTTAGGGGGTATATAGGATTTCTGACTTAAGAGGGTACCTCAGACGCTAAGAAGCTTCTCGGCCTCAGGCGCCCCGCTCTCCGCACCGCGTGGCCGCTTGAGTGACCCTGGGCAGCGCATTCACCATCCCCAGAGGCCGCCTATACTTGGAGGTTCAAGGTACTTACTAACCAATTATAACTGTACTTATAACTGTACTTATAACTGTACTTATAACTGTACTTATAACCATATTAGGGCACTTAAGGGGCTTATACGTGGGTTATAAGTACGGTTATAATTGGTTAATAAGTACCATGAACCTCCAAGTAAGCCCCCAAATCCCAAACCACTACGAAGGTGGACCATATTGATTTGGGGCTAAACCCTAAACCCTAAACCCTAAACCCTAAACCCTAAGCCCTAAACCCTAAACCCTTAGTAGTTGCATAAGCATGGGGTCATGTCTACGCCTACTTCGGGCCAGCTTCTGAGTATTGGTACGCCTTCAGTTCACGCCTGTCTCTGGGAAACCCTTATTACTCTTCCAGTTCCTCCAAACCCTAAACTGCCCAACTGCCATCGAATGTGAAGCTCAAGGCCCCAGAGCTCTAGAAGCTTCAACTCTGGGCCCTACATCCTAAACCCGAAAACCTTCAAGCCCCACCCTAAACTTTAAACCCCCAAACCCTGCAGCCCGAAATCCAACACCCCCTCCCTTCTACCCCCCTTATACCCCTTATGGCCCCCTTTACCCCTCCCCAACCCCCCCAAAAAAATCCGGAATATGATCCTCTTAAACCGGTCTTCAGGGGAAATCTATAAAACATCCCAAGAGCCTGGGGGGGATATATATATAAAAAAAGCCCAAGGGCCTGGGTGGGTGGGGGGGGCGGGGAGGGGGGGGCCCTCATTAAGTGCTTGCCAGGGGCGTTCCGACAGGAACTGCCCCCCTTGAACAGTGAACTTGCAATGAACCCGAAGCTCGAAGTCCGAAATTCGATAAGCCCTATAAATCATACACAAACCCTATATAGGGTTTAGGGTTTAGGGTTTAGGGATATATACCCTCTGAATGAACCCTCTAATCGTTTGCGCCCTCCAGCCCTCCAAAGTCCACACCCATTGCCTCTCGCCGGGCTTGCCTCAGCGGCCTGTGCATGTTTCCGTGCGAATCTACAAGGATTTAGCTCATTCTGATTTACCGCTGTCATTCCTTATGATTGTTGTGCTTGCTTGTCTTGTTGGAGGGCTGGGCCTCTAGGGACCCTAAACCCTAAACCCTAAACCCTAAACCCTAAACCCGAAACCCGAAACCCGAAACCCGAAACCCGAAACCCGAAACCCTAAACCCTAAACCCAAACCCTAAACCGGATGCTTGAGTTTGCAGCTTGACGGCAAGGTTCTAGGCGAGGCTAGGTCGGCTGGATGGGGTTATCTATGCCAGGGATCCTTTTTAATTGGGGGTTGTGTGAGTTTTTAAAATGTAGGGTCTACATGGAGGCATAGAGGTACACAGGGCTGAGGTAGTGTATGTGCACGGGTTCTATAGGGTGTATGCAGTTATACGCGTGCATATGTGCGCAGTTCACGTAGGGTGAGAAGGAGTTTCCGGGGAAGCCCTACATGAGCCCTGCCTGGCCTTACGTTCTCCGTACCGGCTCCGTGACTCTACAGCCCCAAGCCCTATAAACCCTATACCCTGAACCCGTAGAAGTTGGAGCTTTGAGTGCATTCTATGGGGTTTACGAAACTAAGGGATCCCCCAAAAATCCCCAAATTGCAGGATCCCCTTAGAACAAGGACCCCATTAAGATACCCCCCCCCCCCCTTCGGAAAGCCCTCAAAAGGGCCCGGAAATTTCGCAGGATTCCTTTGCTTTTTTCGAGAAAGGGTAGGGGCCTGATTGGCCAGGTAGCCTGGATGGAGCCCCAAGAGTCGCCGAAAAAGCGCGCAGAGAGGGTTTCGGAGGGTTTAGGGTTTAGGGTTTAGGGTTTAGAGTTTAGTGTGTAGGTTTAGGGTTTAGGGTTTAGGGTCTAGGGTTTAGGGTTTAGGGTTTAGGTTTTAGGGTTTAGGGTTTAGGGTTTCGGGTATAGGGTTTAGGTCCCCCAACAAAGTCTAAGCGCCGAGGCACTGCAAGAGGCACCGAGCCCTCGTCGGCACCTGGCGCTTGGTCGTGGATGACCATCGGACCTGCGGCTGAGATCTGAACCCTCAAGCCCCAAGCCCTAAAGACTAAACCCTAAAACCCTTTTCCCTAAACCCTAAACCTTAAAACCTAAAACCCTAAAACCCTAAAACCCTAAACCCAAAAACCCAAAAACCCAAAAACCCAAAAACCCAAAAAACCAAAAACCCACAAACCCTGAACGGAGGTTTAGAGTTTAAGGACGCGTCTGTCCGGGTTAAGGTTTCTGGGATTCAGGGCCCAGAGCGCAGGCTCGAGAGGCTACGGTTTAGGCCGACAGGACTTAAGGCTAAGGCTTCGTGGGTTAGCGTTGAAGCGTTTAGGGTTCAAAGAGGGTTTTGAAGCCTTAGCAGGCCCTAAACCCTAAACCCTAAACCCTAAACCCTAAACCCTAAACCCTAAACCCTAAACCCTAAACCCTAAACCCTAAACCCTAAACCCTAAACCCTGAACCCATGGTTGTTCTAATTTATAGGGCTTCGGGCACAGGCCGAGCTTCGGTTGCTCTGCTCCTGGTGAAACTGCAGCGGGTCGGTCAGCGCCAAGGTCATGAGCGCGATGTTCCTCAGGGTTTAGGGTTTAGGGTTTAGGGTTTAGGGTTTAGGGTTTAGGGTTTAGGGTTTAGGGCAAACTCTGGCGCCGAGGTTGAGGAGCCTATAGGAAACTAAAATCGCAGTGTGGTCAATGTAGTGTCCTGTGCTCTACTCCACCTTGGAACTACAGCAACAATGAAATGTTTAAGTACTGCATTGGACTTTTGAAGTAACACCTTAGGAGACTATCGTTTGGGGGAGCTTGGGAAGGTGGGGGCGGTATGGAGACTACGAGGTCCCTTCTTGTCTTGTGGGTTAAAAACATTCCTAAACATGGTCCTCTTAAACCCGCATATGCAATACATCCCTTAGAGGCCAACCCTGACATGTCATCACTCTCCGGGGGGAGGGGTCTAACTAGGGTTTAGGGTTTAGGGTTTAGGGGTTGAGGGGCTTAGGGGCTTAGGGGTTTAGGACTTTGGGGCTTCAGGGGTTTAGGGGTGCAAGATTCCGGTGATGTTGCACGAGAGCCGGATTCAGCGCTGTGGGATTCAGGGGTTTAGGGTTCATGTAGGCTTCGGTTGGTAAGGCTTTAGGGGAAATGGACCGGGATGAGGTGACCTTGGGCCCTAAACCCTTCAAACCCTAAGTCACGCCACTGTTTTGGCCCAAGGGCGGCGTTCCTGTGGGCTCGCCAGGCTGGACGAACAGCTCCTGGAACCCACAAACTCCCAAAACCCTGGGAGCCAGACACCCTGGCCTTAGCTGCAGCAAAATGAGAGATCCAGAACCCGAAACTCTGTTGCGGAAAGGCCCTAGAGAGAGGCTTAGACCCGAGTCCCCCAAGCTTGGAACTTTTCAAGCTCAGGGCTTAGGGTCCAGGACATAGGGTGTAGCAAGTGTTAGGGTGCAGGGTCTGCTCAAAACCGACAAGTTGTGTAAGCCCGCGATACATGGTGCAGAATCCTGAAAAGCTACGGGGCTCCATGCAGAACGGCTCAAAATCTTTACACACTCAAACCCTAAGCCCGAAAGGCCCGAAGGGCCGCCCGAGACCCTAGAGGCCTAAGCTTTAGACCTCTGAACATCCTTCCAAGCCCCAGAAGCTCTATAGACGCCCTTAACAACCCCCGACGCCCTAAACCCTAAACCCTAAACCCTAAACCCTAAACCCCAAACCCCAAACCCTAAACCCTAAACCCTGGTGCCTTCATCCGCTGCGCCAGCGCAGCACGGTTGGGATCCAGTTGACTCAGGTCGAAGACGATCTTGCGGAAGTCCTGGAGTTGACGTTTGTAGGAAGCAGAGTTGTCCAGTACCTAGGGGGACTAAAGGTTAACCTTCGGGATTATAAGGGGATTCCATTACCCCAAAAAGGTTAAAGGTTACCTACTCTACAAGTAAGTGGTTGTAGAGTTAGGGGCGCAGGGAAGCTTAGGGATGCTTGGGGGAGTTGCTGTTCGGGTTCAGGGTTCACCTCAACTCTAAGCCCGCTTTAGGTTTTGGGTTTTTCTTGGCTTCAGGGTGTTGAGGTTTAGGGTAAAGCCCTCTTTTAGGTTGATTTTTGAAAGTCACGATTTTGAGTTTTTAGGGTTTTAGGGGGAGTCACTACACGTAACAGGTTTCGCGAGGCGTGCTGGCGTGAGGCCCTGAGGCCCGCCGAACCACTGACTTACTGATTCTTGGTATGGACTGTTGGAATTCGGCTTTAGGGTCTAGGGATGTTTGGTGCTTCTGCATCCATACATATATAGAGCATGTAAGGTACTTAACGCCCAAGAACTAGCAGGCTACGCCTCAGTCGCCCAAACCTGATATGGTTCAGGGTTCAAGGTTCAGGGTTTAGGGTTCAGAGCTTATATGGTTCTGGCTTGAGGGTTTAGGGTTCAGGGGTTAGGGTGCAGGGGATATATGGTTCAGGGTTGAGGGTTTTTTTATGTTTGCCATGCGCTGCCGACGGTCTTTTGGTACAGTGGGAAAAGCGAAGGGGCGCGCGTTGGCGCAGTAGTCTATTGAGGGCTTAGGGTTGGAAATTTTAGGTTTCGGTATTTACGGCTCAGGGTTTTCTGGTGCGACCACTCCGGGGTCAAACCCTCTAAACCCTAGAGATCCCTAAGCCATAAACACCTGAACCCTCATTGTTGAAGGGATGAAGAAGAATGACGGAACACAAAAGTCTCACTTCTACTTTACCCTGAGGGTCCATGCACCACATTATCATATCCTTGGGTCCAAAAGTCCCTATATGGGAGGTGCTTTAAGGCCTAAGTATCCCCTGTTTAGTTTACACAGTTCATGGCTCAAGGACGTCTTTACCATAGGAAATGAAAGCCACCACTTCACGACACAACACTTCCAACAACTCAACGGAGGCGACATGCCAGGAGATTTCAGCACCCTAAACCCTAAACCCGAAACCCTAAACCCTAAACCCGAAACTGCTGCTCATGAAGTCCTTCCGGCAGATGACAGCGGCTTCCTAGTCTCTTCGGGGCAGGGATTCTCGGGATTCCCTCTTAACAAGTGTCCCTGAAAAGGGTTTAGGGTTTAGGGTTTCGGGTTTCGGGTTAGGGTTTCGGGTTTATGATGTAGGGTCTAAGGTTTAAGTTAGTGGTTTAGGGGACTCTTGTCCCATAAAAGACCTGTGCAACAGCCCCATGTAAAGAAACGACCAACTGCTCGAAAGGCTGCTTCCCGAGCTTCCTAGCCCGCTTGGGGTTTCTCACAAGACCCTGCAGCATGAGGGTTTAGGGTTTAGGGTTTAGGGTTTAGGGTTTAGGGTTTAGGGTTTAGGGTCGGCTATACCAGAGGTTCACAGCTTCGGTGGAGAGCAGGGGTTTAGGCTACGGGGCTGAGACTCTCGTATGAAGGGCTCCAAAACTGGTTTTGACCCTTTGCCTCTTCAACCACCCTGAGCCCTCAACCTTACCTCATCAAATCCCAAGCGTCTCAAGGGTACCTTGGCCGGGGCTGCAGGATTTAGGGCTTACTTGGAGGTTCATGGCACTAAATGATGACTGTACTTTTAACTGTACTTATAACCTTACTAGGGCACTTAAGGGGCTTAGAAGTGGGTCATTAGTACTTGTATAATTGGTTCATAAGTACCATGAACCTCGAAGTATGGTTTAGGGCTTCCCAGGCACCTTCATCCCTAAACCCTAAACCCTAAACCCTAAACCCTAAACTCTAAACCCTAAACCCCACTTCAAGTTCCGCTTGGTTTTCGTGGCAGCCCAGCCGCTCCGTAGGGAGCTTCCACGGAGCTGGCCATGATCTGCAGGACCTTCCCCAACCCCCCCCCCCCCCCCCCAAAAAAAAAAAAAAAAACAAAAAAAACAAACAAACAACAAACAAACACGAAAGAAAACAAGTAGCCCTAAACCCTAAACCCTAAATCCTAAACCCTAAACTCCAACCCTAAACAGCTAGCTCTGGACTCTGAGCACTTATTCATAGCTCTAAGCCATCTCACCGCTTATTGGGGGGATTCCGAAATGAGGGGTACCTTCTTGGGGTTCTTCTTGCAAGGGAATCCTACTATTTGGGGATCTACATTGGGGGTCCCCCAATTTTCTTAAACCCCCTTCCTTTTGTCAGACCCACACCTCGGGGTCGCCACACCAGACTCGTAGCAGGCTCCTGGTGCTATGAGTCATTGCTCCCCCAAGACTAAGAGGGTTTAGGGTTTATAGGGTTCTGGGTTTAGGGCTTAGGGTTTAGGGCGTAGGGTTTAGAGGGATTAAGGGTTTAAAGTTTTAAAGAGTTAAGGGTTTAGGGTTCAGGGCAGAACTGCAATGCCCCTCGGCCCCACCCCCTGAATCACCCTCCAATTCGCAAGTCGAGCAGACTTCCAGTCCCTTAAGTCCCAAGTCGATCTTAGACTCCCCGCCCCAGCCCCCAAACTTGCGGCCCCAAACGCCCCCCACGTAAAACCGCAAACCCAAAACCCAAACCCTCTATGTCCCAAAGGCCTACACCGTACCCTGCCGAGTCTCAATCCGTCATAGCCGCAAGCTGAGCGAGCCTCTGGAGCTTGCGAGGGAAGCCGGTCTTTAGGATTGAGGGCCTAGGGTTTAGGATTTAGGGTTGGAATGTTCCCCTTATACTAGCAGTCCTTAAGAGGGATTCTAGTATCCTCTAGTCGAATTCCCTATGAAGGACTGTTAGAAAAAGGGGGAACATCCCAAATTTAGGGCTGAGGGTTTAGGGGTCTCGCCAAAGAGAGTATTAGGTGCTAGGGTTAGGGCACAGGGTTTAGGGGTTCGGGGTGTCTAGGGCGTATAGAGGTTGGGCGGCCTTAAAACAGATGGATTTGGGGTTTAGGCTTAGGGTCTAGGATTTAGGGTTTAGGGCCCTAACCTGAAACCCTAAACCCTGAACCCTAAACCCTAAACCCTGAACCCTAAACCCTAAACTCTAAACCCTAAACCCTAAACCCCCAAATGAACCAACAAGCCCGCCTTGTCACCCGCCATTGCCAGCAACTGCTGATACTTGTTCAGCATGTCCTCCTTGGTCGGCTTCTAGGGTTTAGGGTTTAGGGTTTCGGGCTACTTGGAGGTTCATGGGTACTTATTAACCCCTAAAACCCAGATATAATAAGCCCATGTATAACCTACTTGGAGGCCTTAGGGGGGAGGGGGGGGGGGGGGGCTATCAGTACAGATATACATGGGGTTAGAAGTACCCATGAACCTCCGAGTAGGCTAGCCTATAGAAGCGACAACAAGTCTGGGTAGGACTTGGGGATTTCCGAGATGGGGGGGGGGGGGGGGGGTTACCTTTTTGGGGTCCTTTTTGTAAGGGAATCCAACTATTTGGTACTATTTGGGGATCAACATCAGGGGTCCCTATGTTTGTAAACCCCCAGTTAGGTGCTAGATTCACAGCAATGGGTTGTGCTTATAGGCTTTTGCTGTTTAGGGTTTAGGGGCTCCGAGTTTGCGGGCTTGAGGGTGTAAGGTTTAATTAGGGTTTAGGGTTTAGGGTTTAGGGTTTAGGGTTAGGGTTTAGGGTTTAGGGTTTAGGGTTTAGGGTTTAGGGTTTAGGGTTTAGGGTTAGGGTTTAGGGTTTAGGGTTTAGGGTTTAGGGTTCAGGGTTCAGGGTTTAGGGTTTAGGGTTTAGGGTTTAGGGTTTAGGGTTTAGGGTTTAGTGAAACTACCCTCTCATGCTTTCAACACTCAAGCATCCCTAGACCCTCCTGATGGCATTTCTTCCTCATGAATCCCCAACAATCCAGGTACACAAGGCAAAGGTTCCCCAACTATGCGTGTTTCTAATGGGAAGTATTCCTAAACCCTAAACCCTAAACCCCAAACCCTAAACCCTAAACCCTAAACCCCAAACCTAAACCCGAAACCCCTAAACAAAGCAGAAGGGTACTTATTTAGGCATCCTGGTGCACGGAATCGTCGGAATCATCCTCCCAAATAGTTCACCCTCTCAACCCAACAAGGCAAGCAACAAGTACCCTAAACCGTAAAGCCTAAAACCCTAAACCCTCACACCCTGAACCCTAACCCCAAACCCCAAACCCTAAACCCTAAACCCTAAACATCAAACTCTTTCCGGGTCGGACTGTATCTTACGACCTCAGGACTTGCAATCGCACTGCTCGGTGACCAAGCTTGTCCATGATAGGAATAAGAAGAAGACAACAAGGATAACCCTAATTAAACCCTAAACCCTAAACCCTATAAACCCTAAAGCCTCTAAACCCTAAACCCTAAACCCTAAACCCTAAACCCTAAACCCTAAACCCTAAACCCTAAACCCTATAAACCCTATAAACCCTATAAACCCTAAACCCTAAACCCTAAACCCTAAACCAACATGACAATATAACAGTGTCAACTTGCTTGAAACTCTGAGCCTTTAAGCCAGTGCCTCGACATCCGACCCGATATGGGTAGCTCTTGCACCAGGAAGCAGCAAGCGCCTTCTTTAAACCCTAAACCCTAAACCCTAAACCCTAAACCCTAAACCCTAAACCCTAAACCCTAGACCGTGGGGCCTGGGATGACTCCAACACCCCCCAAAAACCCCCCAAAAGCCTGCTGAAGCCTAAACCCCGAAACCCTAAAACCCACAATCCAACACAAGCTGTGCCAAGCAAAGGCACGCGATAGCCGTACTCCAAGGCAGCCAGAGCTTCTGCGCTGCCTCTTCTGGGAGGTTTCGATTTTTAGGTTTAGGGTTTAGGGTTTAGGGTTTAGGGTTTAGGGTTTAGGGTTTAGGGTTTAGGGTTTAGGGTTTAGGGTTTAGGGTTTAGGGTTTAGGGTTTAGGGTCCAGGCTTGGGTTTATAGGGAGTGTATTTACCGCAGCAAGGCTCCGGAGGTTTAGGGTCTGTGGCCTTGTTTTTCTCAGGGGCCCCCCACCACGGAATACAGGTTTTTTTTTTACCACAAGTCGAAACATTTGCGGTGCCATTACTTGTGCCTGTACCGGTTGATGAGCTCCTTCACCTTCTCTGCCAAGTCTTAAGCTTTCGTCCAACTTGCAGTGGGTATGCAGGTACGTAGGTATGTAGGCATGTAGGCATGTAGGCATGTAGGTATGTAGGTATTCATATATGTATATATATATATATGTGTATATATGTGTAAATATGTAAATATGTAGAAATATGTATATATGTAGAAATATACAAATAGTTTTCCATTGCTTTTCCATATGATGCCCTTCAAGGCTTCTATCATCTTATCCCCCAGGTGTCCTTCAGGTCCACCATTGCCACCTGTGGGAGCCAAGGAGGTCCGTTCTCAACAGGCTGTTTCGTTGTTATCCAAGCACGTAGCAGACCACAGGAGACCACATGGAGTGGTGGCCTCCGAATTCGTGGGGATTGACTTTCCTAGAGTCCCTTAAGCCTAAATGGTCCATAACTCCACTGAGAAACGAGGTTTCGGGATAGGGTTTGGGTAAAGCCCTGTGTTCCGGCCTCGCTGGGCCAGGCGCAGGCGCAGCTGCTTCTGAGAGGCGGAAAAAGGACTCTCATCGAAACCACCTAGATTTTGACACCCCAAACACAGCTATACCCGCTCGGGCTTTAGGGTCTCAGTGGAGATCCCCGGGTTCTGGTCTCCGTCAAGATGTCTTCTTACAGCTTCCCTCTATAACCCTAAACCCTAAAACCCTAAAACCCTAATACCCTAAAACCCTAAAGCCCTAAAACCCTGAAACCCTAAAACCCTAAAACCCTAAAAACCCTGAAAAACCCCAAACCCCAAACCCCAAACCCCAAACCCCACCTATGGACATCTTGGACCTTCGAAGGCGGGGCGCCTCCCCGTGAGCACAGGCGTGCACGTAGGGCAGGCCGAGGTGTCGGATGACGTATTGCCCGACGATTCGATAAACCTGAGCTTAGGGTTTAGGGTTTAGGGCTTAGAGTTTAGGGTTTAGGGTTTTAGGGTTTAGGGTTTTAGGGTTTAGGGTTTTAGGGTTTTAGGGTTTTGGGGTTTTGGGGGTTTTAGGGGTTTTAGGGTTTATAGGGTTTAGGGGTTTTAGGGTGTAGGACTCAGGGTCAGGGTATTTTGAGGCGGAGAGGCAGAACGAGAAACCGGTGCAGAAAGCGCCCGGACACCTTGTCACTTGTCCTACTTGAATGCCTCAAAGTCCTCATGTCATGTGGCTGTGGGCGAGGTGACTGAGGTGGACTTCAACTCTACACCCGTTCAAACATTTAGGGTGTCTGGTCAACTCTAGCTGTTCTTCTGGCATTCCTGACCCCCAAAGCCCTTCCTGCACAGTCAGAGAGCAAGTTGGTACGTCGGCTCTTCTACTTGCGTGATCTCGCCGATCAGTGGGCGGCCCAGGAAGACATGGAAAAATGCTGTCCTTGGGCTGGAGTTTTGAGCCAATGTGTGGCCTTCATGCTTTCGCCGAGCGGGGGGGGGGGGGGGTGGATCGCTCTTGAGAACTTCTGTTCCTGAAGTGCCACAAAATGAACCCCCAATATAGCACAATGCCCTCCTAGCCCGACATAAACCCTAAACCCTGAACCCTAAACCCTAAACCCTAACCGATCCCTCACTGCCCGAAGTCCCAAGTCCCGAACCCCAGCATCGGAACGGGCAACATCGTCTTCTCCTGCCTCTAGGGTTTCAGGCTGTCATACAAAGATAGTTCAGACCCCAGACCCCAAACCCTAAACCCCAAACCCTGAACCCTAAACCCTAAACCCTAAACCCTAAACCCTAATCCCCAAAGCCCTGCGACTCCTCGGCTCCCAACAACTTTGTGGACTACTGCGGCGCACGCGTCAGGCAGCAAGCGGCGATGAGCTCGCCAGTGACCGCCTCTCAACAGGCAGGCCGGAAGGCCCTAAACCCTAAACCCTAAACCCTAAACCCTAAACCCTAAACCCTAAACCCTAAACCCTAAACCCTAAACCCTAAACCCTAAACCCTAAACCCTAAACCCTAACCCTAAACCCTTAACCCTAAACCCTAAACCCTAAACATGAAGCCCTCCATGCCATTAACCGACAATACCCCAAATACCAAAAACCCACCCCTGAAGCCTTCAAACCTGAAAACCCCTCAGGCCGGATCCTGAAAATCCGCACAAACCGTTGGGTGCAGGGTGTAGGGTGTAGGGTTTACCCTAAATTTCCAGGGATCTAATGCATAAGGGCGGGTTTAAAACAATTTTCCTCTTCGGAGTGGTGTTGGCTACGCTGGCACTTCTTGCTCCTAGGAAAGGATAACAGTAGCGGCACGGGGTGGGGGGGGGGGGGGTGTAGCCCTGAACCCTAAACCCTAAACCCTAAACACCAGTGTAGGGTTTAGGGGTTGTATGGGGTTAAGGGCTACGTGGGGGTTGCAATGGGACATTTCTCCGCAAGTACACGTGCGCCCACTTGCAACCCCGGATGATAGCCCATTCCTAAGTCCTAAACCCTAAACCCTCAACCCTAGACCCCAAACCCCAAACCCTAAACCCTAAACCCTAAACCCTTAACCCTAAACCCTCATTTCCAAACTCGAAGTGCGCCGCCTGAAGAACTCCTGTGGCAGACTTGATGGCGCGCGATGCCTGGGATGGAGCTCCTTCTGCTTAGAGGATCGGCCTCTAAACCCTAAACCCTAAACCCTAAACCTCTCAGGCCCTTGAATGCTGTTTTGGGAGATAAGGTCGTGAGCTTCTTGTTTCATGCCCTGGCCCGAAACTCCAAGCCCTAAATCCTAAATGCATGGTCTAAGGCCTGTCAGTAGCCGGGAGCATGAGGGAACCTCGGGTTACATACCCCCCTTGAAGCCCCCTCCCCCAAGTACCATGTACTTTAAGCTTGGGACTTAAGCTTTGGGGCGAGCGGAACTATGCAACGTTAAAGTACCAAATTCCGAACCGCGAAGCACCACAGATGTCACTACTCCAAACATTTCAGAGCAAGCCAAAACCTATAAAACCTCTGAACTCTCAAACCCACCGAAGCCCCTAAGCTCTAAACCCTTGATTCCTAAACCCTAAACCCCTGAACCCTAAACCCTACACCCTAAACCCTATAAACCCTAAATCCCCCTAAACCCTCTAAAACCTAATCCCCTACCTCTAAACCCTAAACCCTAAACCCTAAACCCTAAACCCTAAACCCTTGTCTCCCCCTCTTGCTGCCCCTTCTGCGCCCCTGACCTCGGCGACGCACCGGGAGGCCACGTCAAGGAAGTGGTTCGGGGCATGGAAGGCCTCAAGCCTGCGGCATGGATGTATGGGTTTAGGGTTTAGGGTTTAGGGCTTAGGGTAGCGTTGCTTTGGGTTTTTCAGGGCCCTGGTGGGTTTTGCGGTTTGTGGATTCTAGGGTTAAGAGGTTTAGGGTGAAGTTAGGGAAAGTGGATGAATTTGATTGATTGATTGATTGATTGATGGACAAAGAAGTCCCTGCAGCAGAAAGACTCGCGGCGCCACAACATCCTAGTTCAGAGCAACTCCCTGAACTGATCTGACTTCTCAAAGGGACGGGGGTTTAGGGCTTAGGGTTTAAGGCCTTTCACTTCTCATCGAACAGAGGCCAGACACAAAACGACAGCTCGGAAACCGAGTGCCTCTCCAAGAAGAGGTTCAGGACGTCGAACTCGTAGTGCATGATGTCAGCGGCTTGGAGCACGTGGTTGACCTACAACCACCATGGGAGATTGGTTCAGGGTTTAGGGTTTAGGGTTTAGAGTTTAGGGTTTAGGGTTTAGGGTTTAGGGGCTTAGGGCTTAGGGTTGCTACCCACCCGAACTCCCACTCAAGGGGTGCACCTCGATGCACGCCAAGCACATTTGGGCTTCGATGCTCAGGGTTACCTCTTGGGTTTAGGGTTTAGGGTTTAAGGTTTAGGGTTTTGGAGGTTTGGGGGGACCCTATGACGCGACACTTGGGGCAGGGATGTGGCTCAACAAAAACGAACCTAAGACCTAAGCCCTAGAGTGTCAACCCCAAGCCTTATATTAACCCCCCGAAGCCCCAACCTACAACCCCACGCCCTTAGGAAAGTCCCTTAAAGGGTATACATAGGGTACCTCATTCCCTCATTCCCTACTAAGAATGTTCATGTATACCGCCCAAGCTGAAGCTGAACCGATTGCTCCTAATTACCATGGCCTTGGTGTTTCGCGTGGCTTCCGTGACATTCTGCAGCCTCGTCAGCAGCCTTTCTTCTCCACAAGCCATGGGTTCTAGATCTAAAGGAAACTAAACGACAAGTATTAAATAGAGGCTACAGGGCTTTTGAGGGTTTTTGAAGGGTTTGCAGGGTAAAGGAAACCCAAATGTACATGTTGCTTAAGGGCTGCGAGGCCTGAGATTGCAAGACAATGCGTGAGGAGTACGCGCGAGAACGACTCTCAACCCTTTAGGTCATGAACGTCTTGGGCCCTTGAGGACTACCTACCTGAAGGCACCAGCAGCAACGTGGTAAAACACTAGAATCCCTGGGATCTACAAAAAGCAGATGAAACACAAGTAACACAGTAGTTCTCTAGATTAGGTCCATAGAGAGCACGGCACCATTTTACAAAGGACCCTTCAAAGGGATCCTAACTTCGAGAACTACGCTCACAAGTCCTTCCCGGCGGTCATAAACTTAGTAGTCCAGTAACCATATTATAGTAAAGGTACCCTTTTTGGGGTTGGCAACTTTGTAACCCTAAACCCTAAAACCCAAACCCTAAACCAGGGAACCCAGGGCCCCCCAAAAAAGGGGAAAAAGGTACCACTGGGCTAGCAAGTAAAAGGCAAGTAGCACATCACGGAGGCACTCGCGGAAATGGAAGGACCTGAGCGACTTCCATGTAGGGTTTAGGGTTTAGGGTTTAGGGTTTAGGGTTTAGGGTTTAGGGTTTAGGGTTTAGGGTTTAGGGTTTAGGGTTTAGGGTTTAGGGTTTAGGGTTTAGGGTTTAGGGTAAGAGATCGCACCGTGGCCACAGCTTGACCCATTATTGTCCCCGGAAAAAAGGCCTTACTAACCCATCACCATCAACCTCGATGATCTAGAGCGCCTCCCCCTGCTTCAGGGAGGGTTTAGGGTTTAGGGCCCCCACGCCAACAAAAGCGCAAAAGCTGCTCGAGGCTTGTACTTACCCGCTTCTCTCGACTCAAAACCCCTCCACCTGCGCTTGCAACCCTGCGCTCGAAACCTGTCATCTCAGACTGGCCAGTCCAGGAAGGTTTAGGGTTTAGGGCTCAGGGTATCAACTTCCCTAAAGTCTCGAGGCCTATCGACAGAGAATGAGTGTTTGGGTGAGCCCATGTTGGGACGGATAATCTCCAGTGGCAACTGCTCTTACGGATCCTGCATTCAACCCTAAACCCTAAACCCTAAGCCCTAAGCCCTAAGCCCTAAGCCCAAAGCCCTAAGCCCTAAGCCCTAAGCCCGCAACCCTCGATCGACGAGCGGCACTCTCAGCTCAGCCTTCCCAGCGCTGGTCAGGCGGCTGCTGCTATCCGTGCCTTTTAAGCTAGGGGTTTAGGGTTTAGGGTTTGGGGTTTGGGGTTTAGGGTTTAGGGTGGGGGGGGAGGGAGGAGAGGGAGGAGTGGGAGGGGAGTGGGAGGGGAGTGGGAGGGAGTCGGAGGGGAGTGGGAGGGGAGGGAGGGGAGTGGGAGGGGAGTGGGAGGGGAGTGGGAGGGGAGGGGGGGGGGGGGTGGGAGGGGGATGCTCTGAAATCCCCATGTAGGGTTCAGGGTGAAATTCGTCTGTTGGTTCCCTGAGTAATAAGGAGGGATGCTAGAACAGGAGCCAGAACTGTGTAGCGGGGTTGAGGAGCTTGAAGTCGAAGCCCTGGACCTAATCTATAAGTTTCTTAGTTCATAAACCCCCCCCCCAAAAAAAAGTGTACACTTTCAGTTCTATAGGGGATTTTAGTATCCCAAAAAGTGTAAAGTGTGCTCACTCAGCTACTAAGGTTTTTTGGGGGCCACTGAGAGGTTGAGAAGGGATCCCTTGCTCTGTTGGTCTTTGCTTGGCACACCAGCCCGCAACCCTAAGAACCTACCAAGCCCAGCCGGCGTTCAGGATTTAGGGTGTAGGTTTAGGATTTAGGGTTTAGGATTTAGGGCTTAGGAAGAAATAAGGGCTTAGGATTTAGGGAGGATGTCAAGATTTTTGGGTGGTTTAGGGTTGAGTGCTTGGAGCTTGAAGTAGTTTGCGTGGCAAGGGCATAGCTATGAGACATGACCCTGAATCCTAAACCCTAAACGGTCTCGGGGAGCTGCATGGGCCATCGGGCAGCTTTTGGTGTGACCCGTTGATGCCACATGCTCGTGCAATTGTGCTCTCAGGAATTCCATACAGGGGGGGGGGGGGGGGGGCTTTGTAGGGTGTAGGGTGTAATGGTTTTGCTGGAGGTTGGTTTGAGGGGATTTTGCAAGGGTACGAAAGGGTAGAGTGGCAGTTTTATCTGGCTTTAGCCCTCCTCTCAATAGGATTAGCAATAAGGCGTTTAGGTTCACCGGAAGCGTTCGGTGGGGTTTTGTAGCGCAGGAGTCTGTTCGCTTCCTCCCCAAAGCCCAAACCCTAAACCCTAAACCCTGCTCTTTCTGTTGGTTCAAGGGGAGCCTGAAAAATATCTAGAGCACTCCCGCCCAGATAAATTCTTCCCGCACGCCGAAACCCTGAGAGTCAGCCCCTAAACCCTAAACTAACACCCTATACGCCCTAACCGAACCCTAAACCCTAAAAACCCTAAAAACCCTAAAAACCCTAAAAACCCTAAAAACCCTAAAAACCCCATAAACCAAAACCCAAAACCCTAAACCCTAGCCCTAAACCCTAAACCCCTAAGCTCCGAAGCTGAACTCCTCGCCGAGATGCCCCAAACGGCGCGAACCACACCTCAAGCTTGGCTCAGGGCTAGAAAAAGTGATGGATGGGTTTAGGGTCTAGGGTTTAGGGTTTAGGGTTTAGGGTTTGGGGTTTGGGGTTTGGGGTTTGGGGTTTAGGCTTTGGTGGTTAGGGTGTGAATGGGAGGAAACCCATCCGTTTGTGACCTTGATTGCAAGACTGACAGCCCTTAGGGCCAGTGCGTTGTGGGCAAAGTGTCCAGGTCTAAGGCCTTTCAGGGTCATGATCGCCCAAATTTACGGACTCTGCATGACTTCGTGGAGGAGCTGCTTGCGATGGTGAAGCTGGGAGGTGACTCGGAAGGATGCCGGCTGCATTGCTGACAGTGGAGCCTGCAGGGCTTTGCGATGGACTTGGTGATGGATCAAGTTCGGTGACATGCCTCCTTGGAGAAGAAGGTCAAGGGTGAGCCGTTCGCGGGCCGGCCTTTGCCTCAAGAGGTTGGGGTCCAGAAGCAGTTCGTCGGCAAGGAGCGCAAGGAAAATTGGGGCAACATTGTGCCAGGACCAGGGGAGTCCCAGCAGTTGCACAACTGGCGAGTGCCTAACTAGAGTGGCCCGGCGGCTCACACCCCTCGGCCGTATAATCCGCATAAACCCTATAATCCCAATCATCCGTATAGACCCTATAAACCCTATAAACCCTCAGGGTTTAGGGGGCCTGAGCACCCAGAAAATCCCATCAGGAGTCGGCATGGCCGAGGGTAGGCAGCTAGCTTCCTACTGGAGTTTTGTACTACCCATTACCAGCTCAGGGCATTAGACACCTAAACCCTAAACCCTAAACGCTAAACCCTGAACCCTAACCCCTCCCCCCAAAAGGATAAAAAACAAAATCTTCAACTCGATACCCGGCCTTTGGTGGCATAGCGCTTGGCCGTCAGGAGCTCTGACGGGCCATACCTGAGCCGTCGGTTGACTCCGTTCCCTGGTGAGCCCCGACTAATTTAAGACATTTTGTCATTTTTGATTCGCCCAAAACGCGGGCGTGATCCGAAACCCTAGCGGGAGTTGAACGAGGTTCGTCCAGACACAGGCCATGGACCTTCGACCCAGCAACGACACATTGCACAGGAACTTCGTTTTCATCCAAGTCCGCGATTTCGCTACTGGCGTGTCCCTCCAGCGGAGTAAAGTGTAGGGACAGCGACACGGAGCCTCCACCCTGCATTTGGGGTCTTCCTCAAACTCCAACGCGTTCTACCTTCGAGTTTTTCAGGCCCTCCACCCTGAACCCCAAAACTACATGGGGGGTCTCCAAAAGTCGGGGTACCAAATTGGGGGTCCTTATATATATATATATATATATCATATACATACACACATATATATATACACACATTACATCTACTATGTGGGGACCTAGATGGGGGGGGGGGGGGGGGGGGGGGCATGTTTCGTAGATGACGGCGCACACAAGGACAAGCATCCACAAGCTTGACAACGCGCTAGTATAGGGTTTAGGGTTTAGGGTCTAGGGTTTAGGGTTTAGGGTTAGGGTTTAGGGTTTAGGGTTTAGGGTTTAGGGTCTAGGGTTTAGGGTTTAGGGTTTAAGGTTTAGGGTTTAGGGTTTATGGTTTAGGGTTTAGGGTTTAGGGTTTAGGTTTTAGGTTTTAGGGTTTAGGGTTTAGGGCTTAGGGTTTAGGGTCACTTTCAATCATGGTCAAGTAAACTGCAAGTGAAACCCACAATGAAGCTCATAGCTAACGTCAGCTCACAATAGGAAGGCCTCGCAGGGTGTAGCTTCAAGTGATGCATGGTTCGCACTCCCAAGAGCCTGATGATGTACGTGGAGCTCGCGTTTAGGGTTTAGGGTTTAGGGATGAAAGCAGTACCAACACCAACATTGTGCATGCCCCCTTTCTCAAGAGCTGTTTGGTGGATCCGCGAAAAGACATGAACCACTCGAAGCCATCCAGCAAGCTCAATATCTGGGAAAGTGCCTTAATTCAACCGCACGGGAGCCTTATTGTGAACGAAGGCAAAAAGCAACATCGGGAGCCTTATTCCGTAAGGTGTACCACTGAAAACGGGGGATTCCGGGGCATTGGGTTCTCTCTGGGCACCCTAAACCCCAAACCCGAAACCCTAAATCCTAAATGAATGCTAAACCCTATTTCAGCCCAAACCCTAAACCCTAACCCAAACCCCGAACCCTAAACCCTAAACCGAAGTGCAGCCCAGGCGCAGGTAAAACTCCTGCATTTTGGGCAGGCTGTTTTCGGTGGCGCACTACGGGTGTGGGGTTTGTTGGGTATATTATGAGTTGTTGCTGGAAGATCTTATGCAAAAGGAAGGCCTTCTTCAGGTGCCAGCTCTTAAGATACACCTTT